AGTGTTTACACGGACCGCAGGAAACGTGTCCATGGAGACCTTTTACTGCGTGTGTGTTTGAGAGACAGAAAGAAAGCTGAGGACATTCTACTTACATGTGTATAATTTCTTTATCATACATTCCACTGGAGCAGAGTTTTATCTAATGTTTAATAGAAAATCAGTAGCCTTCATATTTAAATGAACAGTCTTCAGATTTGAATTACATTAGAGCTGTATTGCACTGAACAGTTGCAAAGTCTTTGATTATATGGACATGTAAAAGTGCACACCTGTACTAATACACACAAACACACTGCCAAGCACTGCAGTGGGGGCCAGTCTTGGTTCTTTACTATGGTGGTGTGTTTTGGAAAAGCTGTACAATGAGACTCTTCAGGATTCCAATAGTGGCTCTGATTTCTTCCTCCCTCTGCTAACAGCGGAAACTCTCCACTGCTGTTATTACCTCTGAAATACACAGTTTGGGTCTTCACACAAAGAGTCAAATTGAAATGTCAACACGGTGGTGTGTTTGGCCTCTTTTCTTTGTGACTATTTGGAGCTATGTGTGTTCTAAAAGATCCTCTAATTCAAGTATAAAAGACTATTAAAGGCTTACAGCCAAACCGGAACTGGACAAGAGACCAGCAGATGGCTAAAAATGCTCCACATTATGTTGCAGCACTGAGGTGAAGGGGTTAAGGGCCTTAACTTTTACACATTTCCACATGATGTACCATTAGTAGTAACATTCTAACTTAATAAAACTACAAGATAATGTTGAAGGTAATCCTGCTACAAAAAACAGCATTGACCAGCATGCCTGGTCACCAGGAAAATCAGCATACATTGTGTTTTGGATGCTGGTATGCTGGTCAGCAGCAATGGTAGTTATTATGCTGTTCACCAGCAAAATCATGCTGGGTAAGCAGCTAACCCATCACCAGATCAGCATAAACCAGCAGTTTAAAGATACTACAGTCCAGTCTGTGTGTGAACAATTAAATAATGGCTACAAGGTTAAAGCTTAGATGCCATTTACAGAAGGGTTGACAAGAACTTGTCTCCCAAACTTTTTGAAATACTCTATTTTGTCACTTAGTGTCTAGTATTGCTTCTGTTCTGTGCAAGCTGTGAAATGATTAATACCAATGAGAGGAACACATAATACCAAAATGCAGTTTACATTCAGCAGATATTGTATGGTTTTATTCTTGTTAATGCTTAATGTGAGTTCATGATAGAATGCCTGAAGGGGAATTCCCCCTATTTTTCAAAATTTCTCCATGATTGGTTAAGATATAAACAAAGTCTTTCAGAGTGATTTGTTGTGAAATAATTAATTTGTAGGAAAACTTACCAATACAGATTTTCTTTACAGTGGTGGTGATAGAAACCAGCAGTCTCAATGTCTACAATGCAAATGTAGTCATTTTTTTACAATCCAAAACCACCAGTAAACCTACATGTGTCTTTTAATATGTAACGTTGATGATGGTAAAATAATGGTCACATTGAAAAAATTATTTTTTTTCGAATGACTGTTTTGTCTTAGAACACCCTTCATGTGTCCCTCCACCATGAATGGATTAAAATACATTGATTAAAAAAACAAAAAAAAAAAAAGATTTTAAACCACAACTCTGAACTGTAAAAACAGTGTCTCAGACATCAAGTTGCTCTGTCATAGTCAGCAGTGATCTGTGAACTGTACAGCAAAAGTAAGGTATAATGGTCTACATCGCTGTTGTTGGAACAAAACCTCGTATCTCCAAAATGATAACTTTACAGGAGAAGGAAAAAACATACTTTACTTTTAATGTAAGTCAATGGAACCAGACTTTTTTCCAAATCATTTTGGGTCATTTCTTTCAGTCCATTCATCATGAAATTTACATCCAATGTAAAGGGGAACAGGCATTTTCAAATTATGTCAAAAACTGAAAAACGTCAAAAATGGAGAGACAAGGTTTTCTTCCGACAACAGCGATATATATTTTATACACTTTCTACGGCCACTGTGACAGTATGCTTTAGCTTAGGATGCTTGACGATTTTGATTTTTAAGTGTACTAATGTCTTTTCTTGTTTTATACATTTCAGCTTGTGTTGTCTTCATTGGGGACGCATGCTTTATAGGGTTGTGTTGCTCTGGTTGTTGGGTTTATGTTAACCTGTATTCTTGCTATTGTTTTTTCTTAATTATAAAATAAAATATGTGAAATGCCCAACACCACGGTTAGTATGCTGCCATTGTCATGCTGCACAGCCCTCAAGTAACTTGCAGCAATATTGTAAAAATTCCCTGGCCATCCAAAAAAACAGTCGCCAGGTGTAGGCCCATTAAGCATTTGTGCCCAGGGGGAAGATGATCTGGCCTGGCTAGAGTACAGAATACAGAGAAAATTCAGTTTACAAATACCTACTGAATGCCCAATTACTGTACCATTTGTCAGATTAATTTGTTCTGAGTGTCTCTGCTTCATTTGACCTTATAATTAGAACCAACTTCCTCCAGGTGCTGCTGCAGAGTCCCCTAGGAGCATAAGACCATTCGTGTGTGAATCTACTGAGGTCTATTGAAACCCTGCGGGCAGGTTGCTGGTTTGACTGGGCGTTAGACAGTCTATAATACACTTTGAGAAGTGTATATATAGAAATGAAGAAACTTGTCTTCTCTCAATGGGATTGAGCTTCAAGTCATTCTCATAGTCTTAATTTAACACATAGGCAAATCCACAGAGATGCCATGGCACGGTGGTGCTGCTTGACCTACGGCAGGCACTCAGCTGGAACCACAGGTGTTAAAGACATGAACAGAAGATGAACTGTGCAAGACCTCTAGTAATACAAGATCTATCAAATTAGTAATACTATATTGAGCCTATTCCTACCTAAAAAAGCAAGCATCCTTAAGAATATAAATGTTTTGGCACTCTTCATTAGGAAATGAAGAAAAAAAAAGGACTGTACTGTTGCTGAAAGCGAAAAAAGTAAATAAAATTAAGATGAAAAAAGTGAAGACTGGGAAATTCTGAACTGTGGAAATGTGACATAAAACAAAGTGATGACAGTGTTAAATAACGTCCTGTAGATTTTATCTGAGCTCGTCTGAAGCTGCTCCAAACAGAAGCAGCTAATTTGATGTCAGTAATTTGTTGATTGGAAAACTGAGATGATTAAATAACATTTCTGACCGTATTTGAAATTAAGTTGTGACATGTACCATGTCAGTTCTCTTAAACTGTAATCTTGACAGTAATTACTCTGACAGTAATAATAGTAATAAAAATAATAACATGAACCTCAGATAACAAGTTGGGATCATGGGTGAAATGTAAACCTAAATAAATATAAAATAAATACAAAATGCAATGATTTGTAAATCCACTTTGACCTATATTTTAACAAAAACAGTACAAAACAATGTTTTACTATATCAGCTTCTTTGTTTTTTGTAATTATAGACTCATTCTAAAAGTGATGACTGATTAAACAGGCAACCATGCTTGGGTATAAAGAGATCGTCCAGGAAAGGTCTAGTCTTTTATGAGCAAGGATGGGTCAGGGCTCTCCACTTTGCCAAAAAGGGGCAGTGATTAATCCAGCAGTTTAAGAACAAAATTCCTCAACGAGCAGTTGCAAGGATTTTAGGTATTTATCACCTTTAATAGTTCATAACACCATGAAAAGTTTCTGGGAATCTGGAGAAATCTATGCTTGCATAAAGGGCAAGGCCGAAGGCCAGGTTGAATTATGAATTATTAATATGAAAACGAAAGTATGAAAACGATGGCTTGTGCAATTGCACAGTTGACGACTTTTGTGATGGAAGAATAGCAAAAAACATTGCTTTCAAGAGTGGATTAATTGGCGTCTTAAATCCCCAAACGACTGATAAATGAAAAGGTGATGTAACAGAGTGGTAAACATGCTGCAACTTTTTTGGAAGATGCTGCAAGCAGCAAATGTGGCATGAGCGTATATTTTTCAACAAAATTCAAAGTGAAAATTTGTTTTTCAATTTAATACAGGTCAAACAGAATTTTTTCGCTGTCCAAAGAAAAACAAGTATCCCCAAAAGGGTAACATTACAGGAGAGGGCAAAAAGGCCCTTTTAATATAAGTTAATATAAAGAGATTTTATTCTAATTTTCACACAATGTAAAGGAGAACTGTTGTGTTCAAATGATGCAGAAAAATAAAAATTACCAAAAGATGGAGATGTTTTTTCTTTGGACAGCGACGATTCACTAATCACTGCTTTCTTTTTTCATTAGCAATTCACATACTGTGCCAAACTCCTTTGGAATTGAGGTTTGTAATAATAATAATAATACAAAGAAGAAGAAGAAGAATAGTTTTAGTATGATGGCTTTCTTGTTGTTCATTTTCTTTCAAAGCCAGTCCTTAGAAATGATGGAATTTTGCATAAGAAATAGTGTAAGTAATGTAGAAATAATGCTTAAGTCAGCATTTTGTGTTTTGGTTGTGGTGTACAGTACAGATGCCCCCTTTGCCTTTTGGGGAAAATAATGGGAAATTCCCAACATGCAGGAAAAACTGCTGTAATACTTTATGCCTGTAATGAGCAAACAGTGTTAGTCATGAAAACACCTACTGGCATATCTGGTGAACTGGAGTTGATGAAGTCTGTGCTGTGTGTGTGTGTGTGTGTGTGTGTGTGTGTGTGTGTGTGGTGTGTGCGGCTGTCTTTGGTGTTATTCAATTGTGATGTAAAGTCAGCTTCCTTCTAGCTGTGATCCAAGAACCTTTAGAGTCTAGGACTGACCAGAGAGAGACGTGTGTATATGTGTGTGTGTATCGGGGGGCATGTTTCCTTATCTAAGGTCTGCAGGCGGTTTTTGAGTCCCTTATCAGCACTCACCATATTGTGCGAGTACATCCTCCTGTCCAGCAGAGAGCGGAAAACTGCCCCCCCCACCACCTCTCTCTCTCTCTCTCTCTCTCTCTCTCTCTCTCCCTCTCTCTCTCCCTCTCTGTCTCTCTCCCTCTCCCTCTCTCTCTCTCCCTCTCTCCCTCTCTCTCCCTCTCTCTCTCTCTCCTTCTCTACCTCTCTCTCTCTCTCTCTCTCCTCTCTCTCTTTTTCTACAGTCCAATACATCCCTATCCAAATGGCAGCCAATTGGAGCACCAAGTCTGCTGGAGGGAAGAGGAGGTAAGGGGAAGAGTGAGAGAAAGAAGGGGAGAGAGAGAGAAAAAGAGGAGAAAAGAGAAAGAAAAGGAGGGAGAGGCAATGGAAGCGAAATGCATCACCTCCATTTACTCTTACTTTACAATAACAGTGGGTTATCGTCAAAACACTGGATCCTATGGAACCTTCATTAGTGTTCCGTATCTTACTGTGTTTTTTCCCCCCTCTGATTAGTTTCTAGGCTACACTGACCACCAGTCGTTCGTTTCAGGAGCGGTCACTACATCTTTCAGTTTTGCCTTAAGTTGTGGATGGCAGAGAGCAGCGGTGACGCAAAGGAAAGTGAACACGGGAGAGCCGTCAAAGCGTGAGAGAGCGAGAGAGAAAGTTAGTGAGGAGCGAATGGAAGGCGTGAAGGAATAGGAGGTTGCATTTGTGACACAGAAGACAGGCGGTCGAGGACATGAGGACACACACTAGCAGTGGAGAGTGCAGCTAGCATGTGTGTGAGGGTGTGATCAGCATTCTGACCACAAACATGGTAAGTACCTTAAGGAAGCTATCAGAGAGGCTATTAAGGAAGTGGACTTTATTGACATTCATCAGTCTGCAGTTATGAAAGCTAGACTACTGGACTGTCCAGTTCATTTTAACTGCTGCTAAATGATATTTGTAGCTTCAGCGCTTCTAAATACTTTTTGAAACCACTACAGTTTAATTTTATTTGACACATAACCAGTTCTGCTTTACTGTACTAACTGACTGATGCAGTGAACACAATTATAGCAGAAACAGTAAATTACAAACTGTATACTTAACACTGTGTACTGGAACAGTGCTGACCAGGAACACTTTTCTACTGATCTTTAATACCAATGTTAATACTGCTTAATAACAAAGTACAGTGCTCAGTTAAAACAAGTTAATTACATAACTTTGATGCAACTGTAAATACATTCATGCTTACACTTATTTAAACACAATGCTCTAGTATATGTACACACAGCTGTGAAGTTAAAGAAATTATAATTTTAGAATTAAAAATAATAGATATACTTTTTCTATGCTTTGTGTTTTTCTGTGCAGTGTATATACAAAGAGTTGATTTTCTGAAGAATGTAGATAAAATTATTTAAGACTGCGATTGCATAATTAACCTTAGCGTCTTTGGGAATTTTTAAATATATCATTTTAGTTTAGATTTATTTATTTATTTATTTATCTAAGTATACAACAATTGAAAAAATACAAGCTTCAAATTGTGTCAAAACTTTGTAATGGATTAAACAATAGAAATGGTAAAAATTTAGTAGGAAAAAATCTTATTATACTGATTTACATTAAAAGTGATGATTTTTTTTTTCCTTTTAGTTAAAGATACCATTCTGGAGATAATAAGATTTCATTCCAACAGTAGCAGTATAATAGTTTCTGCACTTAGATTGTAAACTTAAGTATGTGTGTAATTCTAAAAAAAAGTATCTACTTTTTCTGTAGCCTTTTAATACAAACATGAAAATGCCATTATGAGTGCCGTAAAAATCCCCATGTAGTCATTTAGCTACATGCTTGAGCAAATATGATTCAAACATAAAGAATTAGATCAGCAAATGCAGTCTAGGCTAAATATAGCATTTATTGTTCAGCAACAATGGAGACCCCATAGTCCATTATGCTGCAGGTTGTGTAGTTAAAGCACTCAGTTCAAATATAGTGATGTAGGTCTTGTTTGTTTGTGTGTTCATATCAACAAATAATTCATCTCACTTTAGGTGAATTACATAAATTAGCAATAAGAGTCCATTTTGAGTGTAAGAGGCCGCATAGTGTGTACTGTCATGTTGTGCATCACAGTGACTTTCCTTAAATTCACCTTCACCGTTTTAATCATAACTAAAAAACCCATAATGATAAAGAACATTTATAACCATCACCAGAAAGGGGAAACTAGCTCAGTGAATGGAAAGAGGACAAGAAGGGGAAAGGGGAAGGATCTGGATTGCAAAAGCAAGTCATGAATCACTCAAGGCCGGGCGAATTTATCTTTCAACAGTCCCAACGTTTTATTTATATTCTCAGAAACAAACGTCATCAGCGTTGTATTGTTTTATTTTTCATTGGCGACGAAAGAAGATACGTAACTCAACATTAATTCAAACATGCCTCATCTTTAATGGGCAAATTTGCTGCAGATACATGTATAAAATGGTTTGATTATGATGCTACTACTCTATATCTAACAGGTCCAACCTAATTTGTAGGAGGTTGTAAACAATTATGAAGTGTTAAATGTGTCCAGAAAGAAGAACAGAGCTGTAGAGGATTGTAACATGACTGAGAAAGTGGTTCAACGTCAAGAACTTTAAATAAATGTAACATCTAGAATGGCTTGCGTTTGAAAAGCGGTGATCAAATCTCGAAGCAGACAACTGGTCAAGAAATTATTAGATTTAGAGAAACTACTTTATATTATTTATCATCTAATACTGTCTTGATATTCCCAAAAACTTCAAGTATATTATAAATATTGCCTTAAAATACCATGTGGAGTTCAGCTTATAGCATTTTAATCTACACTGTATATCTATGTTATTTTTAATGAAAATAACAACATTTATTAACATGACAAGTGAATTCAAATCTTCAGTAGATAGTGTTTTTATGTTTTTTTAGTTATGGCTGAAATATTGCTATGATGACCATACTTATGGCAAACGTGGCTGCCAGTATGTATGACAAATGTGTCTGTGTTTACATTTACAATTGCTGCACCTGTACTGTTAAATCTAGAAAGTTCACTGAAACTGCTCTTGTGTTTTTGCAGTTGTTCAGACCTGTGAGCATTATATGAACACAAAAGGAAACAAAATGCAGCCCAATGTCTGGCAAGACTTGTAGCAGCTGATCTCCAGTCAGTTCCAGAAAGCTTCTTAACAGAGCATCACAGTTTGCATGACTGGGACACCTGATCTCTTGAGAGAGCCAGACAAATGGGAACGTTTCTGGGCAACATGATCAACACACACTCCTGACTTCAAGCAAAGTCTGAGCTGTGTGATGACCTTTAGCTTTTAGTGCTGGGCAACCAAAAGCACACCTGGACCACAGAGTTACTGCTCTAACTGCTGCATCAGAACCTCAGACACAACTGGGGGCATAGATTCAGCGCCAGACAAAAAGAGAGAGGAAAGCAGGGCACAGGGTTAAGGGGAGGACCATGATGGAGAAGTTGGATCCCACTGTCTCCCCCTCCCCTTCGCCTGCACCTTCTGTGACTGACCGCTTGACCCCTCCCCGTGATGTTTCTCCATGTGCCAGCAGCCCTGTGGCTAATGAGGCTAACCACGTGGAGAGTGGTGCGCGCACGATCCCCAGCAGTCCTGCAATGACTGAGGACCGTTCTGAGCCTGCATCAAAGCCTGCTGAGACAATCAATGCACAGGACAAATCTGCTACGCCACCCCTGTTGTCGGGGTCCAAACACTCAACCACCCCTTCCACGTCCACCATCATTCTTTCGTCTCCCTCCTCTCCTTCCCCTGCCCCGCTACCACCTAATATTCCTGTCATCAGTCTGGCTCACAGTAAGCCCCCAATACCCCCTATCCCCATGCCTGCCCCCCAGCTCACAGCCCTTCACCCCATCCCAACTCTGCCCCATGGGCCTGGCGAGCTCAGGCTAGCCCAGCTAGCATCTCTCTCTGGAGCGAGTCCTACAAGCACCGTACCTCCACCTGGAGCTCTCCTGCCACACCAGTACCTGCCTGGACACCCACTACTCAACAGGTAAGAGATTATCCGTTATTTATGAAACGTGATCATAAATTGCATGTGATATTTGTCAGTTAAAAAATGATGGAAAATTATGGTGCAGATTGACGACCATAACAACCAGGTGCATAGCGACCAAGCACACTGTAAAAGAAAAATGTTGCTGATAAAATGTGATATTATTGTTGTAACATGAATAAATGACTGTATTTTTACCAGATTGGTCAGCAGAGAAGGTTATATGCAGTGCTAGCTATAATATTTGTATTACATATTACTTTCGTGGTGGATTTTTTCCTCTAAAAGGGAATTCCACCGATTTTCCAAAATTTGTGTGTAATTAAAGAGATAGAAGTTATTAAGAGGGGTTTGGGGTGAATTGCTCTGTTACAGATAAACTTACTCAGAGTCAGAATTGTTCCCAGTGGTGGTGATAGGAACCAAACGGCTGATGAGTTCAATGCTTCTAAAGGCTCCCTCACAGAAAGTTATTACATGAAATGGTTATGAATACACTGTCTGATTCCTGAGACACTGTTTCATGATATTTTTGAAAATGTTTTGGCATAAAGCAAATACACATTTTACATTTACATATACAATGTATATATTATGTATATTGACACATACGTTTTTTAATCCGATCATGGCTGGGGTTTGTATGGTGTTAAGTAAGTAGTCCCTAAAGAAAACATATTTTTCAGATCACTATTTGACCATCATCAACATTTCATATAAAATTTCAAGAGACAAGTGTAGGTTCACTGGCTGTTTAAGATTGTGAATAAAATGGTCATAGTAAATAAAATGGCCATTTATCACCACCACGATAAAGAAATCGGTCAGTAAGGCTAAATTTAGGTTTGCTGTTGTCTTATTCTCTGTATAAAATTGAACCATAGAGCTGTGATTGTCGGGCTTAGACCAGCACATCTTCCTGCCATCCCCCTGACACTGATCTCTTGTAAGAGAGGAAGGTAGAACACACAGTGATAGAAATTCTGTTTAAAAAGTTGTTCTAAAATTAGGTTTATCAGAAAGAACTGTTTTAAGTACTTAGGCCTTTAAGAATTGAGAAGTTCTTTACTTTTGAGTCTAAATTGAGTATAATTAAAAGGAAAGGAGAACTTGTTTTAGAGATGACAGTGTATTTTGACTTCAGAGTTCTGTGAACTGGGGACTTTTTGACTTAAGATTCATCTTATGAGCAGATACCGATTGCTAAAAATCACTTAAAGGTTGTTAAAGTATCTCAAAACACTAAATTAGCTCTTTCCTGGTGTTCCAGGTGGTGTATTTAGTCTCTGCCTGTAGGAGATCTAAGTGTATGACCAGTTCACGTGCTGCAGTCCTATATATTCAAGTATCTTTGAAATCTTGGAGCGCTGGGCACTGGTTCAGCAAAGGCTGTTTTGCATGTTAATGTGGGATGATAGAGGAGGATGTTAAAAATAGAGGATGGAGTGTTGAACTGTTTGAGTGTATTTTAAAACATATACAAGTCATATTTTAAGAACATATATCACTGTCAGGTTCAGCTGCTTTGATAGTTTTGACAGCCCTTGGTTCTGCTTGGATGATAATGTAAATTAGACAATCAATTCCCATCTGCAGAATTATGACGGTAAATGATGTTGTCGTGACCCAAACTCTGTAACGAAGTACCACATGTGAACATACGTATTGGTAATTTAACTGCCATCAACTTACTGACTGAGATAACTTCTAATATTTTATAATCCTTTATAATTATAACTATATTCTACACACACAGCATGTAAGACTGTTAACATCCAGTAACTCTCCATATTGGTTTGATAGAAAACCACTGGCATATTGACACTCTTCTTCTGGACAAGCTTCTGGATCTCGTACAGGAATTTCTTTGTTTAAACTGCCTTACCCTAGCATTCATTGCCAGACTTAAAATCTGTGTTGTATTTATTCTAATTGACGTTAAAGTGTGTAGTTAATTAGTTGCTGATTTTGTTCTGTATATATGTATGTATACCATGTGCTGGGTACTTTCAGGACAACTCAACAGTGAATTCTTCTGATCTTTGAATTCTTTGACTTTGACTGGAGCTTTGAATGTGTTTCATATGCTAATATGATTTAATATGTCTAGTGTCGACCAGTTGCTATGAATACATTTGCATAATTGTAATAGGCCATTAGCACTTGTAGCATTTTTGGAGGTCCAGTGTACCAAATAGAGGGTAGTGATGTGAAGATATACAGGATAATCTCTATAACTTTCCTTGCTCTATTGCACAAGGCAAGTGCTTCAGTTCAGCACTCTTTGCAACCAAGTTCTTGCAACCAACTTTTAAGACAGTTTTTAAGACTCAACATTTCAGAACATCCCAATGATAGCTAAAGCTGGATCAACACAGATCTATTGTGTTTTTGCCCTGTGGTTTGGGTTGCGTCAGCGGCCAATGTCTTGTCAATAACATTTAAATTGAAAGTCAATTCAAACGGAACCTCATTCAGAACAGCCAGTGAGAGTGCCTGGCCTCGTCAGACAGCAGCTTTAACTGTTTAAAGCGATGAACTTTGTTGGCTGATAGACAATGAAAGAGACACAGTCACCGTTTTAAGGCTATTGTAGGCAGCGGCCTTGTGGGTCACTGGTGAGGGCTCTGAAAAGGCTCTGAAAAAAAGGATGGGTTTGATCTCGAACACGAAAAGCATTTAGTGGGATGCTCACTCCACCATCTTACAACTATGGCCTTTGTGCTTATGATGCTTTAGGGAAACTGGGGAAAAAAACAGCACCTGCTTCCCACACCAGTAACCCGTGACTCGTTGCTCAACTCTCTGTCTGTCTTCCGCTCCCTGCACACCAGCCGTGCCAAACTGCCATGCTCCATACTGCTTCCCTCTTCTGTACCACACAAATGTTTTTATGCTTTTCTATGCTTTTCAGTAATATAAAACCAGTGTATTCTGTTGCAGGTAAAATATATTAATGATTCTAATATGATACATTTATTAACATACATTAATAAAAATTATTATGAGGCTACTGTTATGCATACCCTTATAAGTATCAGTTTACTTTATAATAAATAATATCAGTACACTTAAGTATACTTGACTTATACTGACAAGTATGCAGAAAGCCTAAATGAATTTGGCCTATACTTGTACTTATACACGTACTGTATATAAAAATACTTGTATATATCTAACCATATGCTTGTATATACTTGTGGTCTGTACTTGTGATTATACTTTATCAAATGTACTTTCATGAACTAAAAGTGGGCTAGAAATGTATATCTAGTACCTATGAGTTCACCTAGAGTGTATTTAATAGTACAAAATAAAACGTTGATGTAAATTAGTTGTGTACTCAATGTTTACTACTTTTATATCCAAGTAAAGTTAAAAGTATACATTTATAAACTAAAAAAGGGGCCAATTTAGTCCCAAAAAGTATTGACATAGTAACTATAAGTAAAGTCCTAGAAGAGTGATACTTATACTATAGTATAAGTAAACTACTAGAACACTGATATAAGTATACTTACTACCAATAGTATACTTAGGAAATATGGTTGAATTTAAGTTTACTTAAAAATACTTGAAGTATACTTTTTTGTAAGGGTATCTCTGAGTTTGAAGCTGTATAAGACTTAAATTTTAGATGCTTCCAGAACTGTGTTCTGTGTCAAAATAGAAATGTTGTGTAAAGAAATTGTGAAGTATTGTGCAGTATTGTTCCTGATTAGACCTGGAGAAAAAGATATTCAACATACATTGCATATTCTGAGAGGTCTAATTTAACAGGCTGCTTGAACATATCCTTTTCAACCTGTTGTGCTGTGTCGTTTTCAGAATGAGTAAAGATCTGTTTCGGCTCTCTCGAGCAGGTGTAATGAAGTCAGGCCTTGACTGGGCACATCTGTTCAATCAAAGCACAACTTCTCATCAAAGCCCAGATAATTGCTTTGTATGGATTTCTTTCCCTCTGAAACATTGGCTAAATTCTGTAATTTGCTACAACTGACTTCAGCTACAACTGAAGCTGCTTTGCTTCGTAGGAGCAGATTACAAGACTGCAGATGGCTGCATTAAGCCCAGTATTTAAACAGCATGTTCATTTTTGGACAGAAGATGTAATTTTTGACTGATTTAACCCATGTGTCCTCTTTCTCTTGCAGCTCTTTCCTCGGTCCCTCTGGTAGCTATGGTATCTTCAGCAACAGCCGCATTAAGAGAAGGCCATCATCACACTTTGACTTAGATCTGACTGAATGTAAGTTATAACGCTTCACTGTGGTCTGTGCATGTGTGTTTATGTGTTGGTAGCCTACCTAATGCAGTGGACAGGTTTCCCAAAGCAGAGGTGAGGACTAATGAAGCTTTAGGGTTAAGCTCTAGTGAGAGTTTTTATTAGTCTTTATTTATTTCTTTAGGTGTATATAGAGAGCATTTTAACCTGTTCCATGACAGTCTGGTATGGGAGTCTGAATTGTTCTGAGTTATTGGGGGGTGCCCTTCCCCACATAAAATCTCTGTACATTAATAGTGTCTGTTAACAAGCACCAAACATTGTGGGGGATCGGAATTATCCTGCAAATTAGATTTTGTTCTTTTACGGGGATTTGATATGCTTATTAAGCTGAAAACAAAAAAATCTAGCATTGTGCAGATTTTAAATGCTTTAGAGTGATGGATGATCAGTGACTGTATTTGGGTGTATATATGTGTATATTCTTCCTTTTTTGTGTTTTAGAGTGACAGTATGTTACCTACAAAAGGCAGTAAAGCTGAACTGTTTTGTCAAGTCAACTTAGGCCTGTTTACACCCGACATTAACATACGTCTTGGATGATGATCATAAGTCCAGGTGTGAATAGAGTCTAGGAGATGCATTGTGATCTGATCACTCAGACCACCTTCGGAGGCGGTCAGGGACACATATGACCACATAACATTTGTAGTGTGAGCGCCAAAGCATTCCAGTTTACTGCATCATCACAGCAGAGACAAAAGCAGCTGCTTTGCATAGTTCCATGCAGTCTAAACATTTGTAACAGCCTGCACTTTTATAAGAACAAGGACTTATGGGGCATTTTTGTCTGACAACAAACACAGCCGGAGTCGTAATAAATGTAGTAAATACATGCAACGCCCTTTTTTTTCACTTATGAAACCAGATCATAAGTGGTCTCTGCAAAAACCATGGAAATGGCTATACGCCTTGTGGTCCACTTGTGGTCAGATCACATTGTAATCTAATGCTAACTCGCACCTAGAAAATTTAACTCTCAATGTGTGTGTCATTGATACGTGTATCAATGAATGCAACATTTTGGGGCAAGCAAGTTGCTGCTTAAAGCAACAAATCATTTTTTAAGTCTCTGACATATCATGATGTTTTTGCACGGTTCTTTTTCAGGTCCTCCTCAGAAGCTGGCACGACGCGTCTTCACAAACAGCCGAGAGCGCTGGCGGCAGCAGAATGTGAACGGCGCTTTTTCAGAGCTGCGCAAGCTCATCCCAACACACCCACCGGACAAGAAGCTCAGCAAAAATGAGATCCTACGTCTAGCCATGAAGTACATCAACTTCCTAGTGAAGCTGCTGAACGACCAGGCCAGCGAGAGGGCTGCCCATGGCCTGACAGACGGAGCTGAGGAAGAAGAGGGTGAGAGAATGAAGGATGCAGCACTGGGTAACGGGGACAGAGACTGTGGTCACGGCCTGCACTCACTGGGCCCAGACGATGCCCCGCCATCCCAGATCAGCCTGGCCACGGTGCGTCCAGCCATGGCTATTGCTGGTCGCAACAGAGACTCCACTGACTCCGTTGTCGCCCTGACAACGTCGCCGGGGTCCAGTTGCTATGGTGACACGGACAGCGAAGAGACCCCGGGCATGCGGAACTCTGGGATCATAAAGACAGGTGTGAGTGGAGGGATGATGGAGAAGATGAAAGAGCAGATACAGACTGTTACGGCCAGTGGATACCAGCGATGACATTACCTGTGACATCAGTGTCATATATGCCTATATGTCCAAAAGTGTGCAGACAGCCCTCTCTAATTAGTGGATTCAGCTGCTTTGAAGGAATACTCATCAATTTACCATCAATTACCTCAGTAATTTAAATGCATTCCCTACTGAACTAAGAAAAGTATAGACAACCTGTTCACTCAAAACTCTCTTATAATAGAAGCCGTTGGGCAGTTAAATTCAGTTGAAATACGACTATATAACATGGGAGAATGTCTAATCAAAGCTGTTCTTATGAAGTTTTATCCAGCTTTCAAACACTACAGACAGACAATAAAAAGTCATTCAGGTTACATTTGCATTCTTTAAAGGGCGCTTATCATGGAAAACAAGAGTTTGTTGAATTGTCTGAACCTTGTTAAAGTTTCAAAATGCACCATTAACTCTTCTATAAATGAAAAGTGCCAAAAGCAGCTCATTTTGAATTCACCTATTCAGACTACAGCAGTGTAGCTCCACCCATTCATGAGTTTCAGCCAAAACTGCTACGTAATGGAAGCGAAGAACACCGGCCAATCAGAACAGAGATAATTTACATTCATTCACCTTAAAGGCACACTACAAAAACTAAGGAATAAATAGAGACTGGAAAATGGTGATGTAAAAATACCACAGTTTTTAGTATTTAAAACATTGCAAATGTTACAAGTGGACCTCAGAAGAACAAAATGCAAGAAAAATGTAGGATATGTGTCTTTTTCTGGTGTCATGCAAGAGCAAAATTCCATCCGAAACACTACCTTTTAGATAACTAGTCTCAGAGTTAAGTATTTTACAGCTTAACTTCCAAATATGTGTGACCTAAATTATGATAGTGCTCTATATCATCTACTTATGAAATTCAGCCACAAACTACTGGCTTTTAAGTATTTTTCTTTTTCTGCTGCTAGTATTGGAGCAACCTAAGATCACCATACCCATAGCCAAACATCAGCTAAAGTGGTATAAAGCACCCCAGCGTTGGGCTGTGGAACAGTGAAACTGCATTGACTAGAGTGATGGAGCTCCATCCAGTACCATTCGGATGAGCTAGAGTGATCAAGAACCAATCATCCAACATCAGTACCTGACCTCTGCCTTTGTGGCTGCATAAATTCCTGCAGCAACAACTAGTGTTACGCCTTCCCTGAACAGCAGAGGCTGTTACTGCAGCAGACAAACTCCCTATTAATACCCTGATTACTGAAGAAACGCTGGACGAGCAGGTGTCTACCATCTTTTGGACATATAGTCTCATATAATGTACAAACACTGGAATGCTCTGGAAAATACAAACTGACAAAGTGGAAGACAGAGCTATGTAGAGTGAGTGACGTGTGTGTGGTTAGTCTTTGTGGTGTTGTGCTATTATGAGTTTTGATTTAGACATTTATTTCTGATTTATTGTGTGTCTGCACAAGATTAAACATCCACATTCTGTCCCTCAAGGTGATCTGGGAGATTAATCTTTCTACTGCATCTGATGATCCACTTATCACACTCAGGCGTTGTGAAGCCTTGGCACCGCGTAGTTCTCTATTTGGATTTGCACGCTCAGCAAAAAAAGCGAGCTCAATATTTTGAGGACGTTGTGACATTCTGTATCGTAGACAGCAGGAATAAATAGACATTCTGGGTTTGTCGTTCCTCACTTGACATCCTCTTACTACAAACAAAAAGTGTGTGTATTGTTTTTTTCTCGAAGGTATCTTGGGCTTAAAACCAACTTCCTAAATTCAGTGCAGCGATAGATTTTTCTAATGAGACTTGTAGAAGTCTTTGAGAAGTCTCCATATATGGACATGTATGGTACCCTGAAAGAAAATTCCACATCTGCAGACATATACGGTGCTCTAAAAGTAGAGGAAAATGAGTTTTCATAAAGGCATGCTTGAAGTTGAACTTTCCACACTTTTTTGGAATAAAATAGTTTGCTCTAGTTTGTAAACATTGTTTAAAAATGTACCTCTCACTCCCCAGATCATACAGTCTATTTGTGGAAATTAAGTATAAAAAAGCCTGATTTGATTTCAATATATTTGTGATGTCATGCATTTATATACTGTATAGCCACCTATTCAATCTACACTCTACGCTGTAGCCCACGTTTAGCCCAAGTTATAAGGAATGTTTCAGTCTGTACTGTTTTTTAGACATAAATTTACATATATCAGTCTTAAAGGCACAGTAACAAGAACAGCCTGTGTAATTGTTTGTAAATAGTCATTTAAAAATTAATTTTCTGGTACATAAAACCACTCAACCAGGCTCTGTGTCAGGGAATAACCAATCATCATGCCCCACTAAAGCCTTCTGATTTAGTGCAAGCTTCAATAATGGAAAGTGACAGTAAAAAAACATGAAAAATGTAACTGCACTTTGCACACGGCCGGTATAGAAGGATTTGCATGCATTGCTTCTATTGGCTGTATTTTAAGGATGTGATGTATGTTCTAGGAAAAAAATGGTTTTCTAAATGGGCAGATCTTTGGTGATTTGCTGTAAGTAAGGCTCCGCTGCTGATTCTCTTCTGAATGTTTGTCTCATATTTTGGACGCCCCTCTCATGATTTAGCACTGGGCCTAAAGTGAACCTCAGATCAAAAATAAAATACTAGAAAAATGTTAACATACAAACACTCTCAGAAAAAATGTACGAAACTGTCACTGGGGCAGCACCCCTCTTATCACTGGGGTGGTACCCTCGAGGGTTCATCTCAGTACCTTCAGTCAGGGAACTTAATTGTACCAAAATCCATTGAAATTATATTTTCTAAGTTGTATTGACTCCACACACCCCGTCTCATCTCCAGGCTTTTATTCTATTGTTCTGTTTTAAAACTTTAGGTTATGAAAAGGTACAAATCTGTACTTTTCACCTGGAAAAACTTTTAAGGTTCACAATTGGACCTTAAAACCACTGTTGTACCTTTGAGGGAACATTTACATTGTTTGTACCTTGATGAAGGAAAAATGTAGTTAATAGTGAAATCTACTGGAACCAATTAGCATGATCTTATTTGCATAATGCTAACTAGCACCTACAAGCATCTACAGCTACTTGGCTAGAATATCAACATTTTAAACATCTTAAATGAAAGCAAAATTAACATTTGTGGGTCAGAACCTTGTAAAGGGATAGAAAACAGAACTGGTGGCACCAGCAATACTGCAGTATAAACATCACAAGCATAGTCACCTTTATCACTGTGGTGTATTTGCTGTTGTGTTTGGCGAATAGGACACTCCCTGGGTGCTCAGTGATAGGATGAAAGATTCATCATAGCAAACTGCCAAATGTAACACGAAGCATAGAAATAACAAAGCCATTAGCAACGGGAGCTCGGAAGAAGAGGAGGTGGAAATAAAATCACTAGACGGCGTCCTGTAACCGGACATAGTTTATCCATGACAGTACCGTGAGAATCGCACAGTGCTGGAAAAAATGGACGGGCGCTCCCTGGCTTTGGAGGCCGAATGAGAGCGTATTTTCCCACTGCAGCTGTGAAGGGGGCACTGGGGGTCACGGCTGGGGGCAGGCGCCCTGGGAGCTCAGGACAGCCGAGTGTGTGAGGATCAGGGGTCCGTGCTCTTGTCCCGGACCAGCAGCTCCCCCCTTCCATTCTATCAGGTGTCCAGGAAGTGGCTTCAGTTGGTGCTGTCTCATCGGCGGCCAGCCCGCTTCCTGACACAGATCAGCGATGGGAACACGCTTGTGAAAAAGTAGAGATATAAAAAAAAAGCTGCAAAAATCAGCACCAAGCGCTTTCTCATACACATACGCCCCCCACGTCCCACACAGCACAACAGGAAGGGAAACTTGCATAAGCTTGTAATACTGGTCTGAATAACAGGCCGCAAGAAGCCCGGACCTCTGTTTGGCAACTCTGCCAGCCCTGGTATGGTGTAGTGTAGACTAGGGATGTAAAAATGCTTATTAGGGTGGCAATTCAACTGTTTTTGTTACAATCTGTTTCAATAATACTCAAAAAAGGTATGTGCTCAGTTTTGCCCAAAACAAAAATCTTCAGCTACTGGCAATGTAAAACCCAAATGAAGGACTTGGTGTACTGTTTTTGTTGTCTTCAATACTGTGAAAATATCAGACACGACTCTTCATGTATTCAGTTACCAGTCAAAACGGCCGATAAGTAAAAGCTCATTTTTCAACATCAGGAAAAACATATATTCAACAGAAACTTACCTAGAAACCCCAATAACTAAATATACATGTCTGTCCACTATTTGCTTTTATTATATAATTTATTATACAGCTTCCATTTTAATTAGGAGACTTTTCAGTTTCTCAAATAAACATGCAGGGATATTTTTCCACACCTCCAAATTTCAGTCTTAGAAGTTGGTTGCAATTTCTGCTTCTTAAAAAAAATCCCAAACACATTCAGTGATGTTGAGGTCTGGACTCTGGGGTGGTCAGTCCATTGTTCAGTTTCTTTGTTTGATGTGTCTGTCTCCTTTTCTCAGTAAGGCTTCTTGACAGCTACACATCCTTTCAGACCCAAAGCGCTGAGTCGTCTTCTCACAGTGGAAGGATGGACAGAAACACCTGTGGATGTTTTCAGATATGAAGCAGCTTGATTTTCTCCTCTCTCTCAAAGATGAAAGCTTTAAGTGCTGTTCATCAGATGAGGACAGTGTTGGTGGTCTACCAGGTCTTGGAGTCCCATTTTCAATGTAGCTTTTAATCAATTTTTGAACTCCAATTTTGGAAAGTCCTGTTTTTTTCACGGATTTCCTCATGTGAGATGTGGATGATGTTATATCCTGAAGAATAATCAAACTGAATCACAGTAAAATCTGAGATTTCATGAATCGTTTTCTGAAGTATTGTATTCGAGGTGAATGGTGAGATGTTTTTGCCCCTCTTTTAGGTGGGACGAGTGTCTCTAGCGTGGCTGTTTGTATAGACTCTGTCCAGTGTTTGAGTAACAGTCTGGGGGATAGTAAGTACCCCGCTGGCTCAGGGCTCTGATATTGGAGGCCCTGGGGGGCCATGTGGGGCAATAGAGTGGTCTGTGTGACAGAGATAACCATACCCCCCCACCACCACCACTGTTGCCCTCGGTGCCCCGGAGCAAAGGATTGTGGGCACCACACCCTTGGTTCTGGCACGGCACAGGGCCACCTGCTACATTTCATCATTCCTGCTGTGGTTACCGCAGTTACGACATCCCTGATGACACGGAGCACTTCCTCTGGCCAGGGTCACACGCCACAGAGAGCTACACACACACTGAATAGTGCTATACTGGAAAATTACAAACAGTTCAAAACAAACGTTACAAAGCGGCCAAGGTCAAAGGGTCACAGCGTTTGTCATTTCATGTGTTTAATATGTTGAATCCTGCACAACAGCTTTGCAGTGCAGTGTTATCAGGACATAATCGACTTTAACAGGGTTCCCACAGCTTTTCAGAGGCAAAGTTCCAAAACTTTTCCATGTTTTCTCAAAGACCCATTTTAAAAATTCCATGACTAAGTTTAAAGGGGAATTCCAAATTTTTTTTAGAGTGGTTTGATGTTAAATGGTTCATTGGTAGAGGATCTTACCAACTTACCAATGTCTTTACAGTCATGGTATTTGGAACCAGGGGTCACAGTATCTACAACAGAAATACACTGACCAGCCACTGTCCATTTTATCAGCTCCATTAACCATATAGGAGCACTTTGTAGTTCTACAATTACAGACTGTAGCTCATCTGTTTCTCTGCATACTTTATTACCCTGTTCTTCAATGGTCAGGGCCCCCATAGGACCACCACAGTGCAGGTACTATTTGGGTGGTGGATCATTCTCAGCACTGCAGTAACACTGATGTGGTGGTGGTGTGTTAGTGTGTGTAGATCAGACACAGCAGTGCTGCTGGAGTTTTTAAACACCTCAGTGTCACTGCTGGACTGAGAATAGTCCAACCAAAAATACCAGACCAATAGCGTCCTGTGACCACTAATGAGGATGACCAACACAAACTGTGCAGCAACAGATGAGCTACTGTGTCTGACTTTACATCTACAAGGTGGACGTACAAAGTAGAAGTGTCTAATAGAGTGGACAGTGAGTGGACAGGGTTTAAAAATTCCATTGAGCTCTCCTACTGGTTAGGACTTCAAGAGCTGAAGAGAAGGCTTAATACATTAATTAATTGATTAACTATCAGTGTAATTACAAAGTGACAGAAGAATCAAGCAATTACATTTTGATTTACAGTAGATGGTCACTCTAGTCCTTCTAGAAGTTCTAGATATGTCATTGACAGCAAATATGAGTGGCAGCCTAATGAGTGTGTTGTTAGAAACCAGACCTCTCTACTGAAAGAGTCACTGTAAAAGTGCAACAAGGTAAAACTATCTAGCAAAACAGTCTTTTAGAAGTTTTTAATATCTGTATTTAATGTAGAACGGCCAAAAATCATTGTTAGCCTAGTGCTAACAAACTACTAGAATCACATAGCACAAATTAGCGTTGTCGTAGAGGTGGGGTTTTTCCTCATGTTTTGACTGAGTTTTGATATTTATGGCCTGAACTGATGACCCAGCTCTAGTAGTCACAGTTCACCACTGTGATGTGGCAACAAAATATGCAATGAAATTGTTTAAAATTGTAAATAAATTCACTCTCTGAAACTATCGCTTTGCCATCTATGTGTCCAAGAATTCAAACTTTCATATCATGTAGCCCAAATACTACAGAAATAATCTCTCATCTGAGAAAAGAAAATACATTTACGCTTTTAAACATTTACAAAAATCCATGAGCTCTCCAGGCCGGGAAATGAAGATTTTAAACTGCTTTTCCAGGAATTTGTGAAGGCTGCATGTCTGTCCAAATTACCTCTGTTCTTAACAGAGCTTAACAGAGCAGCAGAGCTGCACCAACTTAATTTTAATTGTAAATTAGGAGAAATAACAGTAAAAAGCAAACTGTGTATCAGTTTCACAGTGACTCTTTCAGCAATGAATACTGGCAAAGAGCTGCTGATGTTTTCAACTAACGGTTTAGATCACAACTCATATTTACAGTCAGTGACGTATCTAGAACTTTCAGAAGACCTGATTGATTCAGACATGATGGGTTGATTCTCTCACTTTCTAATTATACTGGTTAAACTAAGGCCATCAATTTAGCTCCTGAACTCCTATCCAATAGGAGAGCTCGCTTGGCTGTTTCTATGTAGATACTGCAGAGAAAAAAATCTGATTGGACACTTTTCATTTAGGCATTTCAATGTTTTAACTTTTTTGTTTCCAACCAAAACTTAACAAAGAAATAAGAGCTTTAGTACAATACAATACTAACAGTCGTATGACAAAAATAAACTAAAATCACAGATTAGTATTTGTTTAGTTCACAGAAATCATTAGGCTCTCTCTGAAGGCCCTGAGGACTCCTCTTTGTTTATTGCTATACAAGAATAAATCGAATGTACTAAAGTTAACATGGTGGCAAACTCTATGTGGTGCTCCGTAGTGCAGCTTTTTGAATGAGAATCTCAATATTATGTAGCGACTCCAAACACATCTTGCAGCTGTCCATTGTGAATAATTCCCGTATTTTGATAATCTGAGTGCACTACAATTTCTCATTCGGATGAATAAGGTTTTGTCCCAACATTTGCTATGACTGAATGCATTTGTGGGTGGAGCATTTAGTAATGGTTGAATCTCGAGTGGAACCCTACTCCCTATATAGTGCACTGCATAAGTTACGATAAACTATGGCTTTCTACACCCAAACAGTGCGCTAAATATTAGTTGTGCAGCTTTGGCTAAATGTAAATGACTTTCTATTAGACGCATGTTTCATCACTCCTCGACAACAGTCACATTCCATAAAGTCTGTGTATGGAAACTAAACCGCCCACGTCACAAAAATCAATGCATTTGCATACATCAGGTTAAAAGGCACAGAAAGAAAAAGAGCCAATGTAAATTTCATGTATAAAGAAATTGGAAAAATAAATTACGACTGTTTTTGGTTCATGAAACCACACAAACGTTTTAAGGGGAAGAGAAAAAAAAAAGCAACATGGGCTCTTTAAAACTATTTATCTCTGCATATCATCTTCTCAGACACGCAAGACTTTAGCACAGCACCACATGTTTTCAGAGAGACTAAGAATCAGCAGGCTCCAACAACACTGCACCATGAAGCGAGTAAGTTATAGTTTTGGACATAACCCTGGACTTCCAGTAAACTCACGCCGAGTGTCATGAAACCACATTTCTCGGTTTGATAACTTAAAGTGAAACTCCGCTGAAAAAATGTTCTTCCTCATTTTGTCCAGTCAGATATTGCAATAAAGATGATGCAAAACTCTTGTTTGGCTAGACTGGAAACAGATCGCACTGACTGTTTCATTTCAAACCCAGGAATTTTTTTGAAAATTTCTATGCAGAATTGAGATTTAAGCTAAATGCCAGCATTGTCCAGTAGAGAGGACGTACGGGACAGCGTTCTGTAACAAAAACCGGAAAATGAGGCTTTAGAAAGTATGTGAAAAACCATCCATTATGGCTGTATTATCTCTGTTTTGTACAAAAATCAGTCACATTTATCTACATGCATTTGAAAATACCCCAGATAGCAAGAGGGTGGCGGGCCACTGTTGGCCCACTGACGGCAAAGCTGGTGACCCAATGGCTTTTCGCTCAGCTTTTTCCAGGCAGCTCATTGGTGGTTAAGCAGAGTGTTAGACAAAACATCACTCTTTTCCACTCACAGTCCAATTTACTTCCTTTTTCTTAATTTCTTTATTTCTTTGTAACTTAGTTTAGTGAAAAACTATCATTAGCACTGTGAGCAACAACATTTAGCAACATTTTCAACAAAATCACAGTCTAGTCTGTATTTTTTTTTTCTCTGTAATGTTTGTCTTAGTTCATTTTCCAAAATAAAAGGCTACATGCATTTAACATATGTTTAAGAAAATTAAAACCTAGTTAGACCATGTATGTAGACCTTATCAAGCTGGTTTCCTTGGCCAAAGATTAAGCCTAGTCCAAGACTTAATAAAGATATCTCCTTTGGGAATCTCAATCACCTGTGCCATGTAGTGCAGACCTAATATCAAACTACATATCAGTTTTACAGTGACTCTTTCAGTAAAGACCCGCGGCATAGAGCTGCTGCTGTTTTCCATTCCTAACAACCACCTGAAACCTGTTTAGACTGTGACTCAAGATACAAGGTAAAATAGATGTTTATAACTGTTGCCATATAAAACAAACTTGTACAAGATTTAAATATCTGTGTTTAATCCTAAACAGCCAAAAATATTTATTTGCATCAGCATTAGCTTAGTGCTAACATGCTATTAGCATTAGCAGAAACGGTTACTGTTACAAGGTTCAATAAAAACTGCAATGACTTTTACAAGCTCCAAATGTCCATGTTTCCAATCTTGAATGGCCAAAAGATATTCACATGCACTAGCATTAGCTACTAGAAATCCCATAGAGCTCTAGCAGATATTAGCATTGTCGAAAAGGTGTTTTTCTTTGATGGCTCATTTGACAGTGATAGTCATGGTTCGCCACAGGAAATAAAGAGGTTTTGAAAGGAAAACTACACTTTAAATTTGCACATTTTAACAAATATTGAGCACAAAATCTCATTATGTTGGTACAGGATTTTTGCCAGCATGCTAGGAAACTAGTTTCAGTTCAGTTCTGTTCTTTGTAACAGTGTTTTATACAACGGTTTTCCAACTTAGGAAGAGCGAGGAGGGAACACCGAGATTTGGAACACCGCGCTTCAGTCTGTTTTGCTTTTGCCATATTTTCTTCTTCCCACCTCAGCAGCTACAGATCCTGCTGTAGCGCCCACAGCGCCCCCCAGAGGTCCTCCAAAAAACAGTCCCACTGCTCCTCCTAGCAGCGCTCCACCAGCCACCAGCTTCGGTACACGCTTGGCACCTGCTCCAACCTTCCCTCCCACAAAGCGAAGGATGGAGCCAAGCCGAGAGGAAGACGAAGTCACAGGTTCCTGCGGTTTCACACTTTTATTCGCCTCTTCTTCATCTTCGTCTTCCTCTTTCAGAACATGAAGCGTGGTTGAGATGACTCGGTCTGTCTCGTCCAGCTGTTTTTCTCTCCCTAATAGTGTCGTTCTCTCTCTGGTGATGTCCTCCTGCTTCTTCATGTGTTCAGGCTGCTGCTGGATGCTGTAGCAACTCCCTCCAGTTTCCTTCACCAGCTGCTCCACCTTCTCCAGCAGCTCCTCCACGTTCCCTCGTTCTTTTCCTCCTTTCTTCCCTCGCTGTAGTACATGGTAGCGATCGCCACACTTTTCCACCAGCTCCAGCATCTCGGGCCGCTTCTTTGCGATATATTCCTCCACCCCTCCTCCTCCTAGAAGGTCAGAGTAAGTGAAAAGGACCAGGGTACGTTTTAGGAGGGCCTCAGGGCCAAAGACGTCCTCTATAGCAGCCAGGCCATGCAGGATGGAGTGAGCGGGATAAGTAACAGGCACGCATAGCAGGAAGGCGTGTGGGCCTGGGCTGCACAGCGCTGTGTAGGACAACTGATGGGCCTTCAGCTCTCCTGGAGAACAGCCGGACCAGAACCAGTCCGGAGTGTCCACCACTGCCACCTGAAACAGCAACAAACAAAAAACTGATTGCAAACCAACTTCTGATTACATTGTTGATCTTTTCATCACATATTAACCCCTTAAGGGTCTGTATGTGGGCCTACACTGATTTTTTAAGTGAAAATAAATCAACACATCCTCGACAGAGAACACATTTCTGCACATTTTAATGCAAAGTCACAGTTTATTTGCTGAATTTAACAGTGGAAACAAACTACAACATTAAATGTAGCCCATGCAAAGGTTTGAAGAGAAAGTGCATTACAATTTCCAGAAAAATGTCATAGTTAAGTTTGTTCCTTGTCATTTGACAAGGAAGTGTTCAAACTTTTTTATCTGCGTCCTGTGTCTTTTGGCTATCTGGAGAAATAAAAGCTATATCCACTAGGGGGCAGGTCAGTGCAGAAACATTCTCTGCTAACACAAGAATATCCTCCTTGATTACTTTTTCTAATTTAGCACAAAAATGTCAAGATCGCAAATTTGATCCCTGGTGATTGCACAGCCACCCGTGGCAGGAAGTCCAAGAAAGCATATTTGGGCCCAATCCCATTTCACCCCTCCCTCCTACCACTTAGCCCTACCCCTTGGTTTTGTGTGTTCACGCCTAGGGGTAGGGTGCCGCAATTTTTGTTGAGATAGAGGGGTAGGGCAAAGTGTTAGGGCTACATGGCCCTCCAAACAGAGGTTTTTCAGAGACACACTCCAAACAGAGTGTTATGAGAAAAAAAGAAAAACCGGCAAGATGGCTGAACAAGCAACCAAGGAAACCCACAAATGTGAGAATTTTCTCTGTTAAAAATTATTATAGACATTGTATTATATTAGTTAAGTGTCATTTCAATGTATTATGGTCTTTTTCTACATAACAAGCATAAAAATCACTAGTAGTTTGCTGATGTCTCAGTAGCTGGCTAGCTAAATTTTAAAAAATGGATTTAAGGTGGAACGGGAAAATTCAAATACGAAGCCGGTGAATAGCTGACTTCAGCTTCATATCACTGAAGAATTAGGGGTGGGCGATGATAAATAATTATTGCATCCCCCTCTCTGAAGTCATATGATTCCCTAAATGTAATTAGAGACCAGCAGTGAGGTTGCTGAACTTTACCCTCCTCTGCTATCACTGCAGACGGGCCGGGTCGCCTACAGAGCAGCGCTAATAGCCTGTTAATGAAGTAATGCTTTTTATTTGAGGGTTGTCCCATGACTTAGGACTTTGGGCCAGTTGGGAGGGCAGAAAGGAGCACACAGAGTCCCAGAATGCTGTGCACCTTTTCTCAGCCATTATCTAGTCAAAATTTAAGGTGACACTTTATTTGGAGGGGTCCTTTGTAGATGATTAATAAACTCTTAACAGATTATCAGTAACACATCAACAGCATATCAGTGAAGTAGCAGTAGTGAAGCATCTGAATACACTGAAGTAAATATCTTGTATATGTTCTGTTGATACATTACTTACATTAAATAGATGTACTGTTAATATGTTACGTCCATTACGCAAAACATAGCATTTTCCTTGAAGAGAAAACGGCAGACAGATCTTCTTCTGCGCTGATGCTACAGTATTAAACTGTAATACAGTAATCATGCAATACAGTATCAGTGTGTAATGAAGCAGTAAGCATAGACTACTGACCTGTTTGTGTCCAACTACAGCTGTTCCTCGTGCAAACTGCTGTGTTGTGGCACCGGAGACATTCCTACTCAGTTTAAACTCCTCTCGGCCCAGGATGGCGTTCCCAGCAGCGCTCTTCCCAGAACCAGTCTGGCCCAACAGGACCAGCCTCAGCTCTGAGGCAGAGGAGTTACTGCCCGATGAGGAAGAAGAAGTTACAACAGCTGAGGATGACGATGAGACTGTGAGTGGAGTGGAGCTGGGGTCACCCAAGGATGCAATGCGATGATGAACTAGGAAAAGAGAAAACGTGATTGAGTTCCAATAGAATTCCCTGCTCAGCCCTGACTGCTAGTAATGTCTGCTTTCCTGCTTGTATGAGATTCAGAGTGCAAAGGAGTGAAAACACTGAACAAGCGTTTTTTAAATAAAATGTACAGCATCTACAGCAGGTGACTCACTGGTGTTTATGAAGCTCTGGTTGCTCTGATTGATGCTGGTCTCTGTCTTCTCTGACATCTGACTGAGAATGGCTCCCTCTAGTGGTGGAAAAAACACTGTGAAATATTCAGAACAGACTATCCAGATTTACAAGGCTTTAAAAGTCTTAGCATGCAGAACTGTCCCATGTAATAAATATTTCTTCATTTATTACAGGGGAATTCCACCGATTTTTCAAATTCTCTGCATAATTCAAATGAGATGTAAACAATGTCAGAATTCTTTAGTGTGGTGGTGACAGGAACCAGGTGTCGCAATGTCCACAGCACAATGTATTCACTGTCCAAAATGTGGACTGACCCTACACACTGAGTACTCTGAGTTTTTATAAGTAATGTTGATGATGGTAAAATGGTGATAAATTAAAAAAAAGGGAGCTATGCTTCCTTACAACTCCATGCAAGTGCCTGTTTAAAAAATACATTTTAGGCCAAAACTTTATCTCAAAACTATATTAAAACAATGCTTCAGATGTCATGAAACATATTAACAGCCATTTCATGCAATGACTTCCTGTGATGTAGCTTTTAGAGGCATTAAACTCTTCAGATGTCTGGCTCCTATCACCACCACTGAGAACAATTCTGACAATACGTTTCCAAAACATTTCACATAAACCACTCTGAATGACTTCATTTACGTCTTAACAATTTAATTATGCAGAAATTTAGAAAAATCAGTGGAATTTCTCTGCAACCTTAAGACTTTGGATACTTTAAAAATTCTTCATTACCTACTATGAATGAGAGCTAAAGTGTGGACTCACTTTTGGTTGAAGTTTAAAGGGTTAAATAAAATGAAACTGAAACTTTTCAGTGGAGAATCCCTCTGAAAGCTTAATCTGTGTAATTTATAAAGTAACAAATTCAGTTTCAGCTGAGATACCTTTAGTCAGCTTGAAACTGGAGCTCCTCTGCATGCGTCCAGCGGCCATCTCCTGCTGCCCTGGTGATGGCTGTGAATGAAGTCCATTGGGCAGCTGCTGGGAGGTCACTTTCTCCTTAAGCTCTTCTCTGCTTTGGCTCCTTAATACCCCAATCCCACCTTTCTGTGGTATCTGTTCCAGTGCACTGTGTATCTCCACTCTCTCCTCCTCTCTGAGGCTGTATCTCCTCTGGAGCTCGCGCTCCTTTTCCCGGACGCGTGCCTCCACCTCCCTCTGGAGGGCGCTCTGCAGGTAGCAGCCCCTGTTACTTTGTGCCAGCTGCTCCACCTGGGAGAACGAGAGAAGTTTTAAAAAAAGACTTCCATCATGATGAAATGCACAGGGCAGGTTTAAAGCACCAGCAGAGCAACTGTTATCTATAAAAATGGAAAAATTAAGGCGTCAAGATGACTGATACGACTGTTCTTAGCTTTGAGTATGTACTTTTGTCTATTTTTTTTCTTTTGAGAATATTTTTTGTGATTATTTAAAGGTGCATTGTGTAAGATTTGGTGGCATCTAGTGGTGAGATTGCACATGTTGTAGAAGTGTACAGTGTACAGAGTACAGTAGAAGTGTACAGTGACCGTCAGGTTTTTGCTACTTTGATGACGAGGACTCAGATGCACGAAGATGTATGTATGAATTAAGTATGACCGCGTTTAGTGAAAAATATGCTAGTTTTGCATTACCCAGTGGCTTGTAATTCACTCACTCATTCATTCATGCTTAGCAGGCTAAAGATCATCCACAAGGAGGTGCTATTAGTGTTCAATCAGCCTTTGGTGCATCCGTAAGAAAAAAAGGTTAATGCATTTACATTCCCATTTGTCTGTATTGGATGTCTGTTAGAAACTACTGCTGTCACTGGTGTGTAGATATGGGATCACTATAATTAGCATTAGCATTGGCATGTTGTTACCATATAAAACCTGTTATTATCATGTATCATGGTGCATCCATTAGCATGTAAAACAAACTATAATTTGTGATACCATAAACCTAATTTTAGCATAGCATCGTTTACAGCATTTTAGTCGTTGCCCTGTTCTAAAACATTCCCTCAAGTGAATTCAGTTCAAGAAAACACTTGATACACTGTTTTATCATACATATTCCATTACTGTGTAAATATTTCCTCCAGTCACATTTGTGTATTCAGTGTCTTGATTCCAAATTCTACAAAAAAAAATGTGTGTGTGTATATATATATATATATATATATATATATATATATATATAAGATTTTCACCAATGTGGTCATTATAATATAAAAACCATCACTAGCAATAACATAGGCAAGACCATAAGGCTAATGATATGTATAAGGGTGAAATTAAATTAAATAATTTAATAAATACATGACATATCACATTATTCTACAATGTTCCAATCCAATTATACATACAGATTAACTAAATCTTTTTAAAAAGGCAATTTAGTCATTTAAAATTCTAAATAAAATAGCCTGGCATGATTTTATGTTTGAAGCCTTTGCAAAATAGGGCAGCTTTAGTATTCAACTCAAAGTATTCAACTCACTGGAAAACTTTGTCAGTAAATTCTGTCATGTGGCACAGCCAAAAAGGGACTTTTATTCTGACATGCTTTTAAGAAAGAGTGGGCAGGGTTATAGCATCATAAAGAAGACCCCAAGTGACCTGCATGGTGCAATGCCAAGGTCAGTAGCCCATATATTGAGAAAATGGTCATATTTGAGTCACAAGTAGGCTGGTACAGTTCAAGCCATGTGATGTGACCAAATTAAATATGTGTTATCATAATAATAATGTTTAATTATTTGAAGAAAAGTATGCATAAATGTGAGTTCATAAATGTGAAGAGCCCAAGTTTATATTAGTGTCCAAGTCCAAAGACTAAGAAGCTAAATAAAGGAATGATTTGCACCGCTTGACATTTTCTGGGTGGTAAAATTGACGATCTGTTAAAAAATAAATTTATACCATTATGAAAGCTATGAAACAAATATCAGTACAAAAGTATTCCTCTCACCTTCTCCAGCAGAGAGATGACCTGTTGTCTGTCCTGGGGTCGGCGGTTATTAATAATGTGCCAGTGTCCTCCGCAGCTGTCCACCATGGCCTTCAGGTGTGGTTCCTCTTTCATCATGTACCGTTCCACATCCCGGCCCAGCAGGTAATCTCCGCAGGTCAGGAGCACCAGGGAGTGGCTAAGTGCCCCCGTCCCGAACATCCGCTCCAGCTGGGTAGGAACCCGCTGCTCCATCTCCGTAAACTCACCCACAGGCACCAGGATGAGGAAAGCGTGGGGACCAGGAGCGGTTAGGCTGAGCGCCCTTTCCGTCTCTCTCTGGACGCTGGACTCAAGGTGCTGACCGCTCCAGTACCAGCGGGGTGTCTCCACCACTGTCAACCGGCGGCCCTCAGACACACCCCGCCGCACCTCACACAATCTGGAGGAGCTCTGGCCCACCGATGAGGAGGAGCTCTGGCCCAGGAGATTGTCCGCTGTTAGGGTTTTACCACAGCCAATGTTGCCCACCAGGACCAGACGCAGCTCCGGTGCATCAGGAGGGCTTCCAGACCACGCCTCACACGTATCTGGATAGAGAAAGAGAAAAGTGGACAGGAGACAATAAAGCATTTACAATTTAGCAATTTACTACTGTGGGTAAGGGCAGGTCCTCAAACTGTACTGCACAGCCATACTGACCCAAACTCCTCTATGTGTCCCTCGTTCCTCTCCTAGACTCTCATTCATTTTCAACAACATGTAGCTACCACTTAGCAACTCCCTACCAACACCTAAATAAACACCCTGTACACCATGGCAACTGCCTAGCAACAAAAGTAGCAACCACATGGGATACCATAGCAACCACCTAGCAACAACTTAGCAACCATCTGTGATATCATAGCAACCACTTAGCAATACCTTAAAAAACCACCTGGAAAATCATAGCAGCCACATAGCAACCACCTAGGATACCATAGCAACTGTCTTGCAACACTTTAGCAACCACCTGGAAAATCATAGCAGCCACATAGCAACCACCTAGGATACCATAGCAACTGTCTTGCAACACCTTAGCAACCACCTGGAAAATCATAGCAGCCACATAGCAACCACCTAGGATACCATAGCAACTGTCTTGCAACACCTAACCTGTAAAGGGCCATAGAAAACCAAATATTCTACATTTTTTTAAACAACATTTCTAAAAAAGTTGTGGCGCTGTGAAACATAAATAAAGAAATGCAATGATGTGCAAATGATTTAAACCCTATATTTCATTGAACATGCTTCAAAGACAACATGTCAAATGTTGAAACTGAGAAATTTTATTATTTTTGAAACATATATGCCCATTTTCTATTTGATGCCAACAACACATTCCAAAAAAAGGCGGGAAGGGGGCAACAAAAGGCTGGTAAAGTTGTATAATGCGTGTAAAAAACACCTGGTGGTTGATTGGCAACAGGTCAGTAACATGATTGGGTATAAAAGAGAATCAGAGAGAGGCTGAGTCTTTCAGAAGTAAAGATGAGGAGGGGTTCACAACTCTGTGAAAGACTGTGTGCAACAATTCAAGAATAACGTTTCTCAACGTAAAAGAGGATAGATGAATGCTGCCACCTTCTCTGGGCCCGAGCTCATTTAAAATGGACTGAGGGGAAGTGGACAAGTGTTCTGTGGTCCAAAGAATCAACATTTGAAATTCTTTTTGGAAATCATGGACACTGTGTCCTCCAGTCTAAAGACTACTCAGCTAGTTATCAGTGCACAGTCAGTGGCATCAAATTCAAAATGGGCATATATGTTAAAAAAACAAACAAAAAAAACCAATAAAATTTCTCAATTTCAACATTTGATTTGTTATCTTTGTGCTATTTTCAATTAAATACAGGGTTTAAATGATTTGCACATCATTGAATTTTGTTTTTATTTACATTTTGCACAGTGTCCCAACTTTTTTGGAAATGGGGCTGTATATTCAGTTTCAAAATAAACTATTCACTCCTCAGTTCATATAGTCCGTATACTGAAACTAAGCTGCAAAAACAGCCAGTTTTGAATTGACTGTGATGTCAAAAAAAAACAACACATTTACACATAACCACCTATTCAGTCTACAGCAGACTGCTTTGTGAATGAGCCACAATGAAGGGTAGCCAATCAGAACTGAGGTCATTTACATACATCAGGCACAGTAACTAACACAGTCTGTTTAAAAGAGAGAGGTAGGAAAATTGTCATGTAAAAATGAATTATGACTGTTTTGGTACAAAACACCGCATTATATATTGCCAAAAAATAAATTATACGAAAAATGTAAGATATGAGCCCTTTAAGTTAAAACAACATAGTGTGTAGTTTTACTGTGTGATCTGGTTATTTTCACAAATATTTACTTATATTCAAAAAGCCCTCTAAATAGTCACAAAAAGAAACAAGCTCATTTATAAAAACATTTGAAAGCTAAGTGTCCTCAAACAAGATGGGATATCATGTTTCTTTAAACATGCTTTTCAAGCCCACACACTTCACATGAAAGTAAAACAAAGTGAACCACATGAGAACAGAGATCTAGATTCCATTCATTCTTTCCTCTCCCTAAGAATGACTAACACCGAGGGATGATTTGATACCATGATACCATCTGTCATTCCAGTTTCTGTTGTTACAATTAGTTCTTAAAACAGTGTATCTTATTTTTTAAATCACAACAAAACATTGTGTCTTCTTAACGTTAACAGATTGTGTAAGTGCAATTAGATTTGGAGCATTTCTTTTGGTCCATTTGTCATGCAATGTTCACATCACAAAGAGCAGCTGGTGTTTCCAAATGGAGTAAGTAACAAGGTATTTATAGGAAATTACACGGTATCTCAGGAAGCCCTCGTGTCTCTGCTACCTTCTAGCTCTTCCTCTTTAGTTAGGCTTTAACAGCTCAGCCACTGTTTGGACTCATAACACTACAAATCGCTGTTGTCGAAAGAAAACCTTGTGCCTCCAAAATGGTAGTTTTACAGGAAAAGAAAAAACTTTACTTTTAATGTAAGTCAGTGGAACCAGACCTTTTCCCCAAGTCATTTTGGGTCATTTCTTGTGGTCCATTCTTTATGAAATTTACACACAATGTAAAGGACAACATGCATTTTCAAATTATGTCAAAAACCGAAAACAACAAAAATGGAGATACAAGGTTTTCTTCCGACAGCAGTGATATGTTGCATCTAGTCAACCCAAACAGGGCTGTCTGTATGTTTCTTTGCCCATCCTGCCCAATTTGCTCTGATCACCTGCCTTCCGGACCAGTTTGACCACCATGGAGCCTCCTGCATGTCCATCCACCCTTCTGCTGGTGCTCATATGGACACTAGAACTCTTCGATCATAGACATTGTTAACCTCCCTAACACTGTAGCTCTTCATGTCTTCATACTAACATGTCATCAGGCTTCTACCAGCAGTCATCAGTTATTACTGGTTAATGTAAACACCTCTGTCCAATGACAGACTGTTTTTGTTTTCTTTTTTCTATATTCACTATTGTATATTTATTGTATTTTGATTCTTTATTCATATTGCTGTTGTTGTATTACTGTTTTGCTATCTCATGTCAACCAGAGGAGGACGGGTTCCCTTCTTGAGTCTTGCTTGGTTTTGCCTCGGGCCTGGGTTTTCTGTACAACTACTTTGTGACAACTTTTGCTGTAGAATGCACTGTGTAAATAAAGTTTGAATTGAATTGCATATGACAACAGCGATATTTGACTTAACAAGCTATTGGAGTGGCCAGTAGCCCAGTGGAAGTTGAGACAGCAACCAGAAGGTTATGGGCTCAAATCCTAGGACTGCTTGGGTATTCCTGGTTGTGCCCTTGAAAAAGGCACTTAACCACCCCAATTAGCACAGTTCTGCTGGCAAAACTGTGGTTCTCCCATACTGGGCATAGTCAGGCAACAAAATGACATAACTAACTGGTCCAGGTCTGAAAAAAAGCAGACATTCTATTGACTATCCAAAACCAACAGTGAACCTAGACGTCTTCTGAGTTTTTATATGTAACATTGATAATGGAAAAATACTGGTAAATCTGAAAAAAATCAGTTTTTCCTGCATGAAAACACATTTCTTGAGATGTCCTGGGTCTTACAAGAACAAGAAAGGTTCTAACTGTAATGCAGCAGTAAGTAATGTTCGTTTATTTGAGCCAGTTAACTTGTCAATCGCAATTATTTATATGACAATTAGTTGTCAGCTGAAAAATCATGATCGTGACCAACTTATACACTCTTAGAAATAAAGGTAGTAAACTGTCACTGGGATGGTACCCTCAAGGGTACATCTCAGTACCTTTAGTCAGGAAACATAACTGTACCATAATCCATTGAAATCTAAGTTGTATTGACTCCACACACCCCGTCTCGTCTCCAGGCTTTTTATTTTATTGTTCCGTTTTAAAACATTAGGTTATGAAAAGATACAAATACGTACTTTTCACCTGGAAAAATATATTTAAGGTTCACAATTGGACCTTAAAACCACTGTTGTACCTTTGAGGGAACATTTACATTGTTTGTACCTTGATAAATGAAAAATGTACCTGCACAGAACCTTTATTTCTAACAGTGTATAGATGTCTCATAGTAGTTACTTGAATAATTCAGAGCCGTTACTGAGTAATAAGCTTAAAATTAATAAGAGTAGTTACTGAGTAATAAGCCTGAAATAGTTATCAGTTTTGTAAATCTCCATTTCCATAGAAATATATTCAAGTAACATTATTGATGGGAAAAATAAATAACTCAACCGAATGACCTCTAACAGGTACTCTGAAGAGGCATTAAGAGGTTAACTGATTAAAATGTGCCTATTAGTTAAAAGAACAGCAGATTTTAGGAATGAAATAGGACACCGCTGTCTTATACTACAGGCCACATGCGTTCATTTGGTGTCTGAGGATTTGTCCTTAGATAAGGGTGCATGCCTTATTTTAAACATACAACTGCTGCATTCTCCTTCTCTTACTCCTACATACTCCCAAGTTAAACACCCAGTCTGGCCTGTCGAGCAGCATTCAGCACCCAGCTCACAACTGCATGGCTTTCACTGGAATGAATTTCCACATCTAGACACTAAAAAGATGCTTATCTACGCGGCCTTGTGAAGAAGCTTATCAGGATAGCCATCTTTCGTCATTACAGCTGGGCTGTCATGCCATCTAACTATTTACCTGAATGCTTTTCCGTATTTTAGAAGATCAACCCAACTGCTTCAGCTTTATAGGGGTCTTGCATGGTGATACAGTTGCCAACAGCCATTCAGAGAAATGCACAAAGGCTCCAACACAGAGTCAAGCACTGAGCCTACACTGTATCGCCCAGTGTCTTTTACTATAAGCATTATTTCTTGATCAGCTGTCAACTTATGTGTGTACTACTGCTGAAATTTTTGTTCATAGACATGTTCTGTCGCCATGGTGACCTTGATGTAAATAAGAGGCAGGAGATAACTCCAAAATGATAAATTTACAGGAGAAGGAAAAAACATACTTTACTTTCAACGTTAATCAATGGAACCAGATATTTTGACATTCAACCAGGCCGTTTCTTTTGGTCCATTCTTCATGAAATTTACACACAATGTAAAGAGCAACAGGCATTTTCAAATTATGTCAAAAACTGAATATTATTTAGCCACCCCCCAAATGAATGGACACAATTAGTTCAAATCATCAACAGTATGTTTAACTGACTGCCTGTTGTAAGTGGACAATTACAGTATTTAAGTCGTGAAAGATCTGGGCTTAATACCAACTATGAAGAGACAGAATCTCTACTGTGTGCCAGCTTGATCATTTCTTTTGATACATTTTCTGCCTGTTGCTGCTCTAAAAGTTCATAGTGAACAGACAATTTGGGGGGCACGCCCTCAGCTCGTCCCTTAGCAAAATCTAGTGATGCCCCTGCTTATGCCATAACAGTTATTAATAGTCCTTCCTTTTATTTCCTAATTATCATCATATTTTTCATCATTAGGCTATTTTGTTGAAATAATTATAGCAACTTGTAAATCAGACCAATAATTTTAGGGAAAAACTGAAGAAACTGATAGAACTCTATGCTAAATATGTATGATATTAATAATTATTGAATAATTAATTATTCAAAATATTATTTGCTTTTGTGTTTAAATATAAACATATAAAGCATGGGACATTAATATGACGAGTATTAACGCTTTGTTTGCACAGATTTACTAGAATCACTGTATGTATGCTTTACCCTGGTGTTGGTCCTCCCCCACTTGTCAGACCAGTTGTAGCCCTGCTATTATACACTATCATAATCTATAAGTACTTAATAAATGAGTTAACTGAATCTAGTTTTCCGCACTTTTTTGAAATAGAAGAGTGATGTAGCATGTAAACATTTAAAACTATGCTGTTCACTCCTCAGTTCATATATGGAAAGGAGGGTTTTGAATTGATTGTTTTTGTGATGTAACAAGAACCAATATATTCATATAGCCTCCCTTTTCATGTTGATGTGATAAGCAGTGTTTTAACTCCTTTTTAAACAAGCCAGCCTACCAGATGTCATTTACATATATTAGTAAGACGCATTAAAGACACAGTAACAAATACAGCCTGTTAAATCCTATGGGATTCAGAGAGGTTTGAAAATGATCATATAAAAAATGAATTACGATTGTTTTCCATGCATGAAACCACACAATTGTCATAAATGGACTCCAGGAGAAAATCTTAAATGCAAGAAAAATGTGGGATATCTCTTTAAGAGGAGACTTGCAGTTTAATAAACGGTCTTAACAAGATTGACGTCAAAAATGTCCTCAAACAGTGGGAAAAAAACTGATCCAAAGCACATATTTGTCAGTCCATTTAAATAGGTAAACAGCTGAGATCATCTGACTTACCCTGACCAGAGAAATCCATGCTGACTTCAACTTTCAGAGGCCAGTGTCTAAATGTGCGCTTCTCTCTTCTTGCTGTGAGCTCTATCAGCAGGTTCAGTTCTCCACCTGTCTGCCAGCCCTCCTCCCTCCCTCCCTCTCTCTCTCTGTAATCTCTCTGTGAGTTAGCAGGCTAACTCCACCCACCTGCATACTCTTCCCTACAAAACATACATACACTTGCACTCAATTGTGTTTGCGACTACTATTGTTCATCACCTTCCATGCATTCTGGCTGTGGGTGGAGGTGAGACTGCCGTCCACATGTGTGAATCACACTGCTCCGATGTTCAGCCACGCCTGGCCCCACCAAACCTGCAGGTTTCATGAACACAGGCCCAAAACTCTGCACAGACAAGTAGGCTCATGTTAATGGAATGCCTCCACTACAAATGCTAATGTGGCAAACAATAATGGAAAACTAGTGGAGTCCCAAACAGCACCAACTGACTTCAATTCAAATAAAAAAAAAGCTTTGACCAAACCTCAACTTTACACAGTTGCTAAGCTTCATAAATTGGCTTCATGTATTAAAAGAGCCTCACTAAGCAACACTACTATGTCACCAGCTCATCTGAAATCTTAAAACAGATGTGTTAAACAACACATTCCGTCTCCACTTAGACACAGCAGTTAACACAAAATGTGATGAAATATTTCCGTGCCCAGTTCCGGATAACACATTTTATGTTATTTTTAACACAGAATGTGCTAAATCTGAAAACTATATGACACAAAAAGTGGGTGCAGTGGCTAGTAAGTGTGTTGTTATTTACCACGTCACTTTTTGGAGTGTGGATGCTTCCAAATTGGTTTTTCAAAGTACCAATTCACTCAAAATATACAGCAGTGTAATATGTTTCAAACAGCAGAACAGCAAAAAGTAATGTCAAAGGCCAAGACAAAAGGATCATGTCACAGAGCTGAAGCCCTATTACTTGTTTAGTCTCATAAAAAGCTCCAGCTCCTTTAATACAAGCCCCAACAACCATGTGGAGAAAACAAGCTTTAAAAGATTCTTCCTTCTCAATCTTAGAAGGGAAAAGAAGCTGAACAGCTGTGCTCTAAAACAGAACCAAAACACTGGAGGAAGGCTGAACCAAATTTGTTTCACGGTTATTAAAAATTACGCTTATTACAAATGAAAAGGCGTTAACCTCTCCATTCTGAGCAGAATCATTAGATCCAAGCTTCAACATGACTTCTCTACACACTACTGTGTCAAACTTTGATAGAGGATAATGTTGAGACTTGCATGTCAATGACAATAATCAGGTTCCTCCATCTATACCAGGGGTGTCAAACTCAACCACTAAAGAGGCCATATTAAAAAATCTCATAAAATCCATGGGACAGAGAACACCTATGTTTTCTTTCATTTTTAATTACATTTTCATATGAACTGAACTGACCACTGTTTATTGAAAATATGCAAAAACTTCAACTGTAAAATATAGGCACTTGTAGCAGACCATGAAATATTACATGAATACTTGAAATCTAAATGTCCCCAGGAGCTCACAATCTTAAGCCTACTTAATTGCTTGAACTAGACACCTGGCATCCCTTCTTTGCTGCAAGTTCATTAATACTTGGGCTCAATTTCTGAGCTGCTAAACTGACGTGAAGTGTTTATATTGGCTGAACTGCAGTTAGTTGTTTGGAAATACAACTGGTGTGAAATTGTGCAGAATTTTTATGTTTGTTGCTTATATTAATAGAAAATTTCAATATTTTGCGGGCCGGATAGGATTGTGTCTCGGACCTTGTGTTTGACACACGGGATTTATACAGTACTATTAATTGTTTAACTGGTGAGTAACTTGAGCTTTTAAATGAATTAATTTGGAGGAGTTAACAGTGAAAGTATTCCACCCACAATAAAATCACCCTCTTTAAAATCAGACCAGAGGCACGGAAGCTAAAAGCGATCACTAAAATACTTTTAATTGAAAGAACAACAAAACACACACCAACAGAAATACAAAATCAATAGTAGATAGGATAAAAATGGAACAACGGGTTAAGAAGCAGGTTAAAAGTAGACTTGTTCCTGTGGTCTGTCCAGTGCAAAAATGTGCAATTCAAGTCCTTTTCCTTGTTGAAAAACAGGAGTATTGTTTGGGCCGGGAGGGCCCAAGGGTGAGGAGCTACCAGCTAAGGTCCTTTATTCACACACAGAGAGAGAGAGAGAGATGGAGGGAGACAGAGAGAGGCAGAGAGAGACAGAGAGAGTGTGAGTGAGAGAGAGAGAGAGAGAGAGAGAAAGAGAGCGCGAGAGAGAGAGAAAATAGAGAGTGTGAGTGAGAGAGAGAGAGGGAGAGAGAGAGAGTGTGAGTGTGCATGAGAGACAGGGGTGGGGGAGGCCAGGTGGAGAGATGGTCTGGCAGCATTCAGAGTCCAGGCATGACATAGGCTATATTGTCCAGAGTGTTTGACTGAAAAAGATTTACAGAAGAGAGAAAGAAAACATCAGATACTGATCACGGAGGATAACAGCAAGACACAGACCAACATTAAGTGTTCAATTTGTATTCAAACTCACAAAAATGAACAAAAAGGGAGTTGTTTGACATACTGAAAATGCTAACATTCAATAAATTTGACTTGTGTGCTAATGGCGCCCCTGCTGGAGAAACTTCAGACTGCAAGATGGGAGCTCCAAAGCCACGTTCACGAGATTTACGTACTAAAAAAATAAAGTGTTTTGTGTTGTCATAGCGGAGGTGTTCTGGAATTCAATTAAATTAAAATTAAGTTTTAAAATTACATTGACTTTTCTCAGTTCTCTTTCCCAACATGGTAATTAAGGCATAAATAAACAGCCTTATATAAATGAACACTTTTGTTCGGTTTTTGATTTCGTTTCAGGCTGATTGTGTCCTTAATTTCAGTTTCGGATTCAGTCAAATAGTTTAATTTCAGCGCATCACTAAATAAATTGTGTTTTATTTAAGTAAGTGATGTATGTAAAAAAGGACAGGGACTGATCAAAGTATTTTTTTCAGCATTTTTTCCTATTTTCTCCCCAAATTGGTCCTGTCCCAATTCCACCCACTAGTTAAGACTCCCCCAGTCACACAATACCAACAGCACTAGAAGCGTGAAGGCTAAAACCTACTTCCACCAAATCTTTGTGAATTGCTGCTAATGCAATATCACTGGACAGCTGAACATGTTTGGAGGAGAATGTTAACTGCCAATTCTATTACGTCAGCTCACTGACGCCTGCGCTGACTAGCATCGCAATTCGTGATGGGGAGAGACGGGGGGCCATCCTAGCCCCCTGGAGAGAGCAACAAAACTGTGCTCTCTTGGACTCTCAGCCACGAATGGCTGTAGCATCACCGGGGATCGAACTCGTTATTTCCTGATGACAGGGCCAACACTTAGACTTTTCATTGTATGGAAACTTCTTAAATAGGAAACTGCCTAAATAGATTCAGTGGTATCGGCTTGACTGTGTAGCACATTTAAATGAAGTTTATATGATCATTTATTTTTTCTGTAATTTTATTCAACTTGAGCAAATTTTGTCACAAAAGCCTGAAACTGTGAGTATCCTGAATTTAATTTGAACTGTGAGGACAGTGTACTGACTCTTATGCTGTGTTTACATAATGATGGTACACAGGTGACGGCAAACTGGATACTGCATAGTTTTCAACAATACAGTGACAGAAAATTCTGCCACTGTCAGTGGCAATAGCAGTGCATCATCAGCAGAACATTCCGTCAAGAATTCAACCTTCCCAAATGACCGTGGTGATGGAGTAAATGATGATCATTTTTTGAGAGTCATGGATGCCAGATGGAGATGGGTATTAATCCAAAATAAAAAAATCAAAAATGTAAAAAGATAATCCTCCAGACTTTTCCACCTAAAATAAACAAAAGACACTGCTAAATGTCTCGTCTGATAACCTTTCATCTTCTTTGTTATTGCTGTCACCATGGCAATGTTTACATGGCTGCAGGCCACTGTCAGTCACACACTTCCAAATGGTCATGGAACACTTTTGTTTTTTTAACAGCGACATGTTAAAACATTATTAAAATTTGCAGAACACCAGTGCGACTATTTGAATCTAGTATTCACAGCACTGCACAGTTGTTTTGTACTGTTACAGGCATTTAACTTCCTCAATGACTGATAAATACAAATAATAATATAGTAAAACACTTGAACCCCCAACTTATAATTCCTGGCTGGAAAGTTCTGTGACTTCTGACTTGCAATTCTGTGGCATCACATCAACATGGAGGTGTTCACAGTGCAAACAGCAAAAATAATAGCGAATATGATTTTTTGAGCAGACTTTGAAGTTTCTATTTGCATATAACATGGTTTAAGATCACTAAATCCAGCAGAATAATTAGATACTGAGAAAATAATGTAATTCTGTGGAAGATTCATAATCTGAGTGTGCAGTTCCGTGTTATTTTTGGCACTAGTGTTGGTGAATTACCAGAATCTACATCCTCTTTCAAAATAAATAAAGCAGCTCTTCTTGGGTGTTTATGTACTGTGTAAAACATATTTGAGAGCTTTTATAAATACACAGCCAAACACGTTACAGTAAGTATCCTCTGTTTGAAGTTGCGTGGAATTTAAGCAAATGAGCTGTCTTATTTGGAGGACAGTTTTTTTTTATTACAGATTATTGTAATAGTTTACTGTAGTTAACAGTATCCTTACACATCAATGTATTAAGTATTATGTGTGGTATAGGAGGGAACGGGATGGTGTTGTTACCAGTACGTGCGGAGGGCAGCCATTGAGTTCTGGCACCTGAGCGGTGAGACACGCCAAAGGACCGAGAGCACACAGCACAGAATCCAAAAGAACAGAGAGAGAGCCTGACACCGTCACCATACCCTGTACACAAACATGCACAAAGTCAATGTTTATTACTACTCACAACACCCGGCCGGGAGACGTTCCCAGATACAGATTAATGATTCTTTAACAGTTATACAACATAGTATTTTGCTTTGTCTTCTGCAGACAGTCACAGCCCATGTCGGCCCCCCATAATAATTAAGCTAAATTTTATTCTGACCAACTGAAATTCCAGATCTAGATTTAGACGTTCACACTGCAGGTCCCAAATCTGATCTCTTTCTTCACTTCTGATACGGATATTTTTAAAGACAGTTTCAACTCCGATTTGGGACTCATTTCATATGTGGTACTGAAATCCGATACCAAATCTCCAATACACAGCAATGTGACTTCTGTCAGAACAGTCAGCTCAGAAATCATGCAACTTTACATCAGTCTACGGGGTATTTATTACAATTATGCATTTCGGAAACAGATCCCTTAAGACAACATCATTAAAAAGGCTGTTACTATGGTCACTCTTCACGTCTGTCATTTCGGGAGACGACCGAGACAAGCGTGAGCAATGTAAACAAATAAACAAACATTTCTAACAAGAACAATCAACAGCTTTTCAAAACCATGTTTACTTCAAGGATAATCTGGACAAAGCTAAGGAGTCAAAGCAGCTTCAGACAGACAAAGTCTTGTTATCCAGTATATCACCACTTTGGCACTGAATTTGGGCCACTTCTGCTACCATGCTTCATTACAGCAGGTAAATGAAACAACTAAGCTTCATTTTTCTCCTCCGTTCAGCATCCACAATTAAAACAGTTGCTGTTTGTCCTTCAAATAGCAGTCTGCACAGCTCATTCTGGTATCACTTGAAAGGAATCTATTAATCTTAATAAGGAAAGTAAAGGACAGCTGGGTTTGTCTGATGAGCATACAAGATGTTCTTCTGCACAAGTTGTTAAGTTCAGCCCAAAGCCCAAACAGGCAGTAAATCAGATTTGGGACATTTTTACAGGCAGAACGTGGCCTTTAAATATGACGTCTTTTGTTTAATCCTTAATGTTATCTTTTCAAATGTGACCTATATCTAACATCAGTGCGAACAGATCACGCTTCTGAACTGATCCGCTCCTAGAGGTCCAAGGCCAAAGTCTCTGGCAAAGGACTGTTTCTGTGGCAATGGCGTAAAAGTCTTTCATACCTCGGTTTCCTGCAGCCTGCGACCAATCAGAGAGAGTGATTCCCCCAGCAGCTGCAAGTGAGCTGCGGCATCGATAGGGTCCACTTCAGGGTCTCTGAGAGGGGAGGGCGGGACCTCAGCTACGGGAACCAGAGCTGTACCGTTCTGCGCTGGAGAGACCACTGCTTCCACTCTCTTCGGCACACTTGATACTGCTGGCATTACTGTTGCAGGGGCAACCACGTTTGTGAACGATGCACCACCTGTGAGGGATGAAGGAGGGTTACTGTTTGACTGACCAAAGACATTTCTGATTATATTAATTAAGGTAAAAGTCAGTTATGTATCCATGCTTACTGAATATGGTCCACAGAAGGCCCTTTTTATCCTTCCCTTTTAAGCTACACTGCTGATCAAAAAAGAGGACAGCTAGCCTTCTTTTAGATGTTCCCAAGAAGTATTTGACTGTCACTAGTACTTCACAATGTTGCTGAAAAGCTACTAGTGTTTTGTATAGTAAAAATACCTACAGCCTGCTGTACAGGCTGATATGGTTAAAGTCTCACCACACATTTTAATGTTTTCTGTTGTAACACCCACTTTAAATCAACAAGGGCTTTACCATAAGCTGAACAGTTGTATCAGATGTGTTGGATGTGGAGAAAACACAAAAATGCACAGGGGTTACTGCAGGACCAGGAATGGGAAGCTGCAGATTAAAGTGTCAGAGTTGCAGAGATAAAGACAGCGGTGGGCTACTAGCCTTTAGATTTGCTGGTGTCTTTGGCAGGTTTGGGCTGGCTGTGTTTGCTGTGTTTACTTGTACTGGACTCTGACTTCATCCTCTTGTGCTGAAGATACTCCGCCCTCTCCCTCCACACCTGAGAGTGACCAAGAGAATCAACTCAATAAGCCATTCATCAAAAACGTCAACATATATAACACATATTAACCGTATGGAAAACTACTGATTTCTTCTTCGGCCAGTTCCCATGTAGAAGGTAGCAAATTCATCACCAGAAAATCTCATACAGAATGTTCTAAAAATATAATAAAGGTTGCTATGTTAAATGCTAACAACATACAATGCTAATTATACTGATGTATTGACACAATGATGTAATAAAATAAACATTCAGTGTAGACAATCACATGGTAGCACTACCTGTTTATCTCCCTCAGGGAGCTGCTTCCACGCATCTGCCAACTTCTTACTCAAGTCCCCAAATTCTGCATCACAAAACCAGTAAGAAGGTAAACATTCATGCCAAGTATTTTAAAACATTATGATGTGCTACACAATGGCATTTGAGTGGGGTCGAACTTTCTTACATTATTACAATCAAAAGCTCATTGTATGTTTATTCTATTTTTGAAGCTTTTTATTATGAATGTGATAAGGGAGTAACCTTTAAAAGTCAAGTAAGAAACAAGAGCTATTGTACTAAATGTCAGTCAGTGAACCCTGAATCCAACTGAAATACAACAAAACCAAAAGATCTAAATCCCACACCCTGCAACTTGAATAGAAAACTACATCTTAAGCTTCTCTTATGAATGTGTAATAACATGTTAACTGTCATGTAACAAGCCGCATACTTGGGTTGTGCATATAGCAAAAGGCCTCTAAATAAAAGCACTCATACTAGGACATGACTATTGTCTTGAGGTCATGAAGCTGGCTTTAACTTTGACGCAACTTTAGTTTATTTCCTGAAATTCACTTGAAAGTCATTTGAAACTCAACTCTATGAAACAGCCAATCACAACACAGATATCATGTGATCACGAACAATCAAATAGTGATGCGTCCATTGACTAAGGTCAGTAAACACACCTGAAAAAGAAAATAAACAGGGGATGGTCTCTTGGAATAACGTTGCTTGTTGCTTCTAACCAGTTAGCGTGACTCGTTAGTTAACTAGTCAGCCAACACTATAGGACAGCTAAGTTTTATTTTGTTGTGTTAGTCTGCTGTACTGTGATCTTTCAACATAAAAATGATACACAGATACAAATACAGGCTAATTAACAAATCACAGATGGTTATGTATCACCAGAATTATGCAGTATATCAAAAATACAAGCTGCTAATCTTAAACAGTAGAATAGAGAAATGTGTTGCATGTTTGTGTTGATTATTTTTGATTTGCTTTACGTAACTGTCAAGTTGCATGGAAATTGTTTCATGTTGTAGTTGTATCAAAGTTTTACCATGAAAAGCCAGCCTAAGATTCTTTACACCATTTGTTATCACTTTGCATTCTATTCTTATCATGGGGTTTTTAATTTGATCTGGACAAGAACTTCTGCAAAATGACCAACACTTCATGTACATAAATGCACCAAAATAGATGTGGTGCATACTGAGAACATCATGTTGAGCTTGGGGGGTGCAAGAAAATAGTTAATTAGAGTTTAACTTCATGAAAATTAATCAATCTAATGCTATATGTTAATCTTACATTTTTTAAGCTTATGAAACACTACAGTGTGACATTGAAAAACAGCAATAAACATTAATGTACAGGTCTTGTACCTCCAAAATTGAAAATCAGAGTAAGAAGGCGACCAGTTGGACGTCACTATACTGAAATCACGGATGTTGAATGATGATGTGATAATCAAGGACCTCTGTCCCCAAACATGAATCTGTCCAATTTTAACCTTATTAAAGTTTTAGAAAATACAAACTTCATGACAGATACTACACTGCCTTTATTATCATTTAAAAAAAAAACATTATATTAACACTCACTTATCAAGAATTAATCTTGATACAATTTCACCCTAACAATTTAAATCTACTTACCTAGACCTGGCTGTTCCTCTAGGATACTCAACCTATATTCCTTATAGAAGATCTGATACGCTGTGAGTCCTTTCTTCTTTGTCTGCAAGAGAAACAGAGAGAGACACAGAAACGAGAGATTAGTTGACTCACTTTATATCCAGTTTATTTCATCCTTTAATCCCTAACCCTGGTTCTGACAATGCAATATCACTATATTGTCAAAATATTTCACAGTATGATGTATCAGATTAAGGTTAATGAACTCAGGCTTCATAGGTAATGGTCTTACACCTGGCATACACTATCAAAAAATTTGTAGTTGACTAATAATGCGGCGTTTCTTCAAAAATCAAGAGAGTTTGTCCCCTTCCACTCTTCTGGGAAGGCTATCTACTAGATGCTGCTGTCAGGATTTGACTGCATTCAGCCACAGGAGCATTAGCGAGGTCAAGTATTGGTCTTGGATGATCAGTTCTGAATCACTCCAACTCATCCCAAAGTTATTGGATGGAGCTCCATCACTATATAGAACGCAGTTTCAGTGCTAGGGGGGCTTATACCCCTCTAACTGACTCTTGGCACTGGGTATCCTGATCTTAGGCATTCTATTAGTCAATGTTTTTTTATAGAGATTATAAAAGTTATGCGAGTGCTGTTGAAAGCCTGTGTCAGCAATGTTGCAGCCTTAAGCAGCTGAATTGTCCAACTAGAAGGCCGTCTGGATACTTCTGGACAAATACTATAGATTTTGTGTTCTCGTAAAATTATATAAAACTTACACATGTTTATCACACAGAATAAGAAAGAAACTTATTTTTTGTAACACACCCAGCAAACATTGCTGTAAACATTCTACATTTTTTCTCATTACTATAAATAGCTACTGCTGATATATCGCCAAACTGAGAAAAGTATGTGACTGCTGAAAGGCATACTGACAATTCAGTTAATTAAAAAAAAAAAAATCAACTGAGACATTTTACCTTCTCCACCTTTAACCTGGTCTTGTCATCTTTCTTCTTTTTCTTCTCACTGTGAGATCCTGACCGTCCTACAGTGTATAACCCACCATCAGAACTGCCATTGGCTAAGGCAGGGGAGCAAGAGAGACAGAGAGAGCTCAGAGACAGATCACTTTACAAGTGATGAAAAGAATACATGACCGAAATATTCCATTATAACTTACTTGTGTTTTTCTTCATGCTTTTGCTGCTGTGTTTATGCCTGTGCTCTCTATCTCTGTCTCTCTCTTTATCCTTCTTCTTCTTGCTTTTCTTGCTCTTTTTGCTCTTCTTGCTGTACGGAGCGAAAGAGTCGTCGATGACAAGCTGCCCATTATCTGTGTCCTCTCCCGAAGAGGAGCTGTCATCGTCCAGAAACTCGTACGAGGCCCCATAATGCTCTTTGATGAAGGGGAAGAACACATGAGCGAATGCAGCTAACAGAAAAAGCTACTGACATCAAGACTAACTTTTATGCCTCTATGGAGAGCGCACTCTAATCAAAAGTTTTCTGTCATGAATGCAACCATATTGATTTTGGAGAAGCTGATGAGAAATTATTATAATTAGTCTAATATCGGAATTACAGCTGATAATTGCACCCAATAATTTAGCCCTCTGTTTTTAGCTTTAGTGAACATACTGGTACACATGTAGTTGTTAGTGCTGGGCATTCGCACTACTCACAAACATGGGTGACTTACATATATGGAGCTACAGTGGTAGGTTGTCACTTCAACTGTCTCTGGAAGTCTGCTTATTAATGTAAAATATTTAAATGTATGATCTTGTGGCTATGCAAGGGTGTGTTCACACTTGACAGAATTGGTTCCACTAAAACTAACCCTGACACAATTACTCATTAGTGTGATTCATCAGAACAAACGAGAATGCTGCTATTCTAACCCCCCTTAAAAAAACATCATATCATTTGCCTAATCAGTTTTTATTTGTATTGTCAATTCGGCAGGTAGACTTTTCCGTTTGAATGGAGAAAAATGAATATACTCTCTCTCTCATCCTCTCAGAAAATAGGGTATACTTTTTAGCATTTTTTCAAGTTGACTTTTGACCTTTTCATTCATTTTTCGTCTCCTCCTGTCCCCATCTGCCACTGCGGCTCATTTTACGCCTCTCCCGGTTCTTTTTCTCTTTCTGTTGTTTAATGGGTGACAATAGCTTGCCTGAGCTTCCTGAAATCGGTCCAAAAGTCCAAACCATCCTAAAAAGTTTTTCTACACTGCATACAAAGCGAACCATGGTTCAGTTTGACCTGGACAAAGACCACCTTAATTAGTCAGACCAAATATTGGTCATTTGGTCCAGACCGTGGTCCGAGGCAGCTTTCTCATCTGCTATTTTGGTTTGGACCGAACTGAAAAATCCAAGTCCAGACCTAACAAGGTAGATGTGAAAGTACACTTCAAACAGCAAAAAAAAACTAGTTATTGATATCAGTACCTACCACTATTGTTAATTATGTGTTAATTATCAGTTGTCGCATCAGTCCAGAAATTTCATATCACTGTGTCCCTAGTTTCTAAACATCACACAGACAAAACTGTATTCTTTTGATACAGAAAAATACATACAAAAGTGTTCTTGTCATCCCTTTCTCACCTTCCAGCTCCACTTCCTCTCCAACCACAGGCAGCGCCTCTCGCACTATGTGCTGCTGCTGCTGCTGCTGTTGCTGTTGTTGTTGTTGTTGTTTCTTTGCAGGCTTGGGCATCCCCATATTCTCTCTCTTTTTCTCCTTAACCATGTGGTGGGAGGGGTACAAAGGTTTTTTGGGAAATGAGGGGCTGGGCTCAGAGCCCACAGCCGTGGGGGAGGTGATGGCTTGGAGGAGGCCCATGGCAGTCACAGCAGTGTGTGGAGAGCTGGAGGAGGACACGGACGCACCAGGACTCTCCAAAAGTCTTTTCTTCTTTTTGTGGTGTGACGCAGAGCCATGGTCTTCGGGAGCGACAAAGGGAGAGAAACAGCATTGTATTTTTGTATTCCGTGATTTCACAAATTAGGTCATACATCATTATATGTAAATTTATTTATCAATCATCCATCTTGTAAGAAGCATTTTCCTTGCTAGCTCTTGCCCACCTTTGTAGTGATAATCCTCTTCCTCATGCTTCTTCTTTTTCTTCTTGTGAAGCTCACTGCTTGCTAAGTGCCCCTCGGCGTCCTTGGGGAATCAGAATCAGAATCCAGAATACAGTCTTGTGCAAAAGTTTGGGTACCCTGGTCTAATTACATTTTGTTTATTTTCTTTTCGTTTAACCTACAGGGAACAAACTTAAATATAGCATTCTGTAAGTTTTAGCGCACAACTTCTTTTGGAAGAAAAATAAAACATTAGGGGTCAACTTCCCAGACAGGGATTGAGCCTGGTCCTGGACATAGAATACTAAATGGAGATTTTCAACCAAAAAGAAAATGTGGCACGCTCTCAAATATTTGCAAATGCATGAAACTTTGAAGAATTGTGCTCCCTGTAGAACACGTTAACTCACTTTCACTTAGAAATAAAAGAATGTGTAATGTCACAAAGAATGTACAGTTAAAATGTACAGTACATAAGCTGTGTATAGTGTACATATAAGCAAAATATACATTTGAAATTCTTGTGCATATGCAAAATGTTAAACTGCAGTTGATCACATAATACGGAGGTGGAAAAGATCTTCATTTAAAAAGGACTTTGACCTGAAACATACATACAGCAAACCCAGAGCAGTGCATAACTGACAGCAAGCACAGCGACTTCTCTCATACAACATCCATGAGCCCTCAGCCTCCGTACCTTTGGACGTTTCTTTGAGGATTTGCGAACCTCTGCATCAATGATTTCTTCTTCTCGCAGGAGGTCTTTATAAGATCTCCTCTTCTCTCTCTGACTGCGGCCTGCCACCAGGCTCACCTCACCCTCCATCTGAAACATCATCCAAAGTTAGTTTGAAGACCGTGAGATTCCATTTCCAACATTTTGCCTATCTCGTCTGCTGAAAAAGCTTTTCTGATATCAAAACGTGCATAATAGTTTTAAACAACCTAAGCACTTACCACAGTGCGGGACAAAATTCCCATGTCCCAGTGTCCCCTGTGAACCCAATTGAACTCTTATTAATAAACTGAACCTTTTTTCTCGATAAAAGCTCTAAGCAAATGGGCACCAATCACACCATAACCTTCCAAAGGCAGTGATCAAACTCCAGTCTGACTAAAAAGGTGGAACCGAAACAGACTATCAGAAGTTAAAGAGCCTAGAAACGCTGTTAGTGCTCTTTCAGTGTCTTACTGAAAAGTAAAGCTGATCACAGCTATCAAACAACTTTGAATGGAAAGTTTTGTTGTGGGTAAAGTAAGTGGGCATTGCGTAGACTCAATCGAGGTTTTTCAAACCCAGGCGGGAAAGCATTGTTTATGTATGTTAGCCGGCGCGCTATGTAGTTAGCTAGATAGCCAGCTAGCCAGCCAGCTAACGCTTCTCCTCTTCTTGCTCGCTAATAGTGTTTGCCGTGGACTTGCATAGCTGGTAGGTAAATATGGGTTAGTTTTAACACAGTTAGCCAGCTAGTTGGCTAATTAGCTGGATCCAGCCAACTGAGTGCAGCAGCTTAGCTGCAGTTGGCTAACTAGCCAGCTAGCTAAGTTAGCTGGCTAACTTTTGAAGCCGCCACCTCGTTCTATCGCAGCACACTCGGCCCTAACAACTTTTAAACTTCACAATTCAGATATCGACACTTATCACCAAAACCGTAATTTGTATTAATTAAAAAGCAAAATTACCGTTAGCTACCATTCGTAAACCTCAAGCTAGCTTCACCGCCATCTTGATCACCGGCTGAAAGCTACATTGTGGAAAACAACAACAGCGCCTCCGGCGGCCGGATGAGAAAAGAGCGGCTACTTTTGATAGACCGATTAAAAGGAACACTTACGGGGGAAATGCTACCGATTTATCTTTATGTGATTTGTAATTAAATCGTCAAGACGAAACAAAGTCATTCAAATTAGTCGGATGTGAAATGCTCCGTTCTAGATAACGTATTCAGCATTCTTTACAATGGTGGCGATAGGAACCAGACGTCTGAAAAGTTTAAAGGAGGAATCCGTTTTTTTTCTTTTTTAAATCTACATTATTAACTGGTTGAGATGTAAACATAATAATTAAGGGTGGTTTGATGTGAAATGCTTCATACTAAAGAAACTTGCAGAGTCAGAATTGTTTACAGTGGTGGTGATAGGAACCACATATCTGAAGGGTTTAATGCCTCTGAAAGCTCTCTTACAGAAAGTTATCACATGAATATAGCGCTATATGTTGCCTGATGTCTGACACATTGCTTAATGACAATTTGTGATAAAGTTTTGGCTTAAAATGTATTTAAATCCATACCTGGTGGAGAGGTGTATGCAGGGTGTTGTAAAATAATAATAAAAAAAAAACTTATTTTTTTTTAGATTTATAGCTATTATATCGTAATCAGGATTACATATAAAGATTCAGAGAACACGTGTAGGTTCACTGGTGGTTTTGGATATAGTAAATAAAATGCCTATATATATGTTGTAGACATTGTGACCCCTGGTTCCTATCACCACCACTGTAAAGAAATCTCTAAGTTTCTCTACAATGAACGACTTTACAACAAACCATTCTAAATAGGTTTCTTTACACCTCTAGGACTGAATTATTCTGAAATGTTTCAAAATTGGTGGAATTCCCCTTTAATGCATATCACAGAAAGTTATACACAAACTGGTTATGAACGCACTGCTTGATGCCTGAGACATTGTTTTACGATAGATTTGAGATGAAGTTTTGGTGTAAAACTTATTTTTAAAATCGATTTATGGCAGAGAGGTAGATGCAGAGCTTTATGAGGCAAAATAGCTCCCAAAGAAAACGTACAGTTTCTGATTACCGGTATTTTGCTACCTTCAACATTATATGTAAAAACTCAGACATGTGAACATGTGGGTTCACTGGTTGTTCTGGACCATAAATAAAATGGCTATAATGGTCTTGTACACATTGCGTCCTCCGGTTCATGGATTCCCTTTAAGGACCTGTTTCCCAGGCTCAGATTGAGATTGTGAAAAACCCCCCTGCATTGGGTTGTGGAGCAATGCAACTGGGTTCTCTGGAGTGATGGAGCTCCATCCAACAAACTTTGGGATGAGTTGGATTGGTGTTTGTGATCCAGAACTAATAATCTAACATCACTACCTGACCTCACTAATGTTCTTGTAGTTGAATGCAATCAAATCCTCCCAGCAATGCTCCAACATCTATTGTAAAGCCTTCCCAGAAAAGTAGAATCATCAAATCATTAAAATCATTTAATTTGAGTATCTGAGTGAATTAAATTTTACTCCAATTTTCTCTACTCTGGCCTGACAATAACTGCTGAGCTCAGAGCTGTTTAATATTATCAGAGCTGAGCACAGTAATTTATTTGTATGTAGACAGGATTTGGTAATTAGCTCTATTTTTGTCAGGCTAAGCTCCCTGACCTGCTTGAAAAATGCAGCTCAAGGCTTTTTTCCCTCCAAGATTTTAAGAGCCATAACCTTTTAAGAGTCCTTTCTTTGCACGTTTAATGTTTTTATGCTTAGTTTGACAATTGTGTACCTTCATATTAAGGACATTTTTGAATAATTCAGTTATTAGTTGAGATGTAAACAGTCATTCAGAGTGGTTTTGTTTGAAATGGTTAATTGTAGAGAAACTTAGCGACTCAGATTTTTTTTTTCGTGGTGGTGATAGGAACCAGGGGTTGCAATGTCAACAACACAAATACAGTCATTTTATTCATTTTCCAAGACCACAAGTAAACCTACATTTGTCTTCACATGAGTTTTTATATGCAATATTGATAATGGTAAGGAAGTAGTAAATCTGAAAAAGTTTCTTTGGGGATTTTTTGGCCTTTCAGTGCCCTGCAAGTATCTCTCCACCAAGAATAGATTAAAAAATATATACATTTTAGGCCAAACCTGTCTCAAAACTATGGTAAAACAATGTTCAAGGCATCCGGCAGTCTATTCTGAACCAATTCATGTGATAACTTTCTGTGAGGGAGCTTTAAGAAGCATGAAATTATTCAGATGTCTGGTTCCCATCACCACCACTGTGAACAATTCAGACTTGGTACTTTTTTCCATTTTTTTGTGCAAGTAAACATTACTACTAGTAGCTGTATTAGCCTCACTGATCCGGTGTTAAACAGTCTTAAAAAAGACAGGACTTTTCCATCAACATCAGGGTATGCTGAGAAATCATCTTTTAGCAATGGAATTGGTGGAATTCCTGAATTCCTGATGGACTTTTTCTTAAACTATCCTCTTCAGTCTTTTTATTCATTTTCATTTGGCCTTAAGGCTTAGAAGACCACGTAAAGGACCTTGTCTCGAGACTGACTGTAAAACTGAATGTTTTGTCTGTGTACAAATGTTTTGTCTGTGTGGGTTTAGTGGGTCAACACATGGGGTAAAAGGGCTGATAAAGCAGCAGGTTCAAAATCCATCCTGAATGTAGCTCAGTTGATCATGTTTTTTTTGCCTTTTACCACACTAAGGGCCCTATAAGGGTACTGTAAGGGATCTGGGCATTCTTTCTACAGGCCTTATTTTCATTAGTAGTTGTGCACTGTATACAGGAGGCAAAGCTGTTTCGCAGCCGGTCTGCTATTTGAAACCTCCTTACTCATGTTTACTGAGAAAGTTCCGCTTACTCATGTTTAGTTGCTCTGCTCGCCCTCCCTCTGCCGGCTAGAATGCCAACTAATGGTTTCCATGTTGCCCCAGCTGCAGCTGCTGTAGTGTGTTTTGCTGAGTCATGGTTCAGATTTAAAGACACAGTCTTATCTCTTACAAGCAAATCACAGCAGAGTGCTCTCAAGGAGCAATCAGTGACTCATTCTAACAAACGGGTTATGTAAGAAAGGAGGACATTTATTACAAGATTATGCTTGCCAGTTAGTGGGTGTCTTTAAGCAACATGACAAAATGTCACCAGACTGGATTAATAGATTCATTCACATGAATAACGGTTATTGACAAAAGTAGGTCAGCATAAAGAGAATATAGGGCCTCGTTCACCAGCAGTTCTTAAGAAGAAATTTCTTCTTAAAACCCACTTGGGCAGTTTTCACATAGAGTCTGACATTCACCAGTGTTTTCTTATTTGGGATTTGTTCTTAGGTAAGAACAGAATCTACACACACTCAAGAGCACAAAGGCGTGAACATTTCTGCGCTTTAAGTACACGTCATGAATCTGACGTAGACTTTTTCTTAGGACCTTTCACCAGAAAACAATTAAGAAAAAAGTTAGGAAGATATTGGTGAATGAGGCCCAATGTGTTGATGACCACAGAAATGATATACACATTTGAAGTCCACTTAATTTAGACATAAATAAATGTCTAAGATGTAAATAAATTGGTTTGATGTGAAATGCTTCATTGTAGAGAAAGTATCAGTCAGAATTGTTCACAATGTTGGTGATAGGAACCAGACGTCTGAGGCAGTTAATGCCCCTAAAGGCTACATCAGAGAAAGTTATTGCATAAAAATGGTTAGTGAGACATTGTCCGAGACGATGTTTAATGGTAGTTTTGAGATATGAGATGGCTTAAAAAACATTTTTTAGAAGAAGAGCTACAGTCATATGCAAAAGTTTAGTCAAATGACACGTTTTGTTGATTTTCTAAGTAAAAATTAGTTTTTTTGGTGAATTAAATATACTGGGGATCAAAATAAAAACATAAATTGTGGGCTGTGCAAGAGTCATGTCTCCCCCCAGTATATCAGTGTCAAGAAATAAATAAAATAAATGTGGAGTAAAATATGCAGAAAAGTATGTTTTTAAAAAAAAACAGATTTATACACTGTTTTAGCATGTTCAACATTACATACAAAAAACTCTTGAATAGTAGATAAAATGGTTCTATTTGCATTTTAGCAGATTTAAGCAGAGACTTTAATGGTTGTATGCTGAAGCTCATAAAATTCCCACAGAGCTCATAAGACCTGAAAAATATCCAAGCTTTTTACAATGCAGACTGCACTGTGCACCTTGTGACTTTGTAAATGATTGAAATGTGAAGTTGTGAAACTGGAGACAAATTTGATATTCACTGTCGACGCATTAAACCTTTTTCTTTCTCTTCTATTTTTATTTATTTACATCACTTTAAAATGCCAGCTGCTCTTTACACATTGTGAACATTTCGCAATGAATGGATCAATGAAAACAGTCAAAAATTACTTAATAAATAACATTTCATTACTTTCATTGAGGAACACTTTTAATTTCCCTGTAAATCACCATTTTGGAGGCTTCGTTACGATCGCTAAGTGTCCTCAATAGTCAGGAAACAATGGCTTCAGTACTTTTCTGGAAGTGAATGATTCAAACTGAATAAATCACCTGTTCTGAACATGCTGGTGTGCACGAGCGTGTGAGGTGGACACAGTGGTCAGTCCTGTGGACCAGTATGCTAGTCATTACACGTAAATTTCAGGCAGCCAACTGTTTCATGTTTTGAAGCCAAAAGCCTTGTTGCTTAGCCCAGCATTAGAGTTAAAGGTGGGCACAGTGTAGGCCTAAGCCTTTTCTGCTGCGCCAAACCACCTGCCAAATGGACTCTGCCTGCCATTTAGCAAACTGCTTGTTAACGGCTGATAAATTCTGCTACAGTAAACAGCATAATGTCAAACACATCTGCTTTTCTTCTGTGCTCACAGTTCATGCTGGTTACCACATGTGTACTTTTCCACTCAGAGTGTCAATATTAGTGAGCACGTAAGGTCTTGTGACTTGATGAGTCTCTCTGCTCATAAATAAAGTAATGAACTGAATATGTTATAATATGTTTTAACACCAGAGACCACCTGTCATTTCTGTAATCCCCAGTTAAAATGGCCTTTAAGTACAAGTTAGTCAATTTTCAATGTCAGGAAAACTTTTCAGGCGACTTGCTTTCAGTTTTTTTCAAGAACTCTCCAGGGATGTTTTTTCCACACCTCCAAAGTTCAGTCACAGAAGTTGGTTGCATTTCTATTTCTCACAATACAAACACATTCAGTGATGCTGACGTCTGGACTCCTCTGGCCAGTCTTAAAACAGTAATAAGCCGCACTTACTGGCCATTTTGACTGGAAATTAATTCTGTATATTGCCAACACATAACAGTCTATTGTGTTTTCATAGGAGGCGAGAGAATAAGGAAGTATGTGGACACTTTGTCTAATTATTGAGTACAGCTGTTTGAGCCACACTTGTTATTGAAAACGGGTGTATAAAATCAAGCACATAGCCTTGCAATCGCCAAAGACAAACACTGGCAGTAGAATGGGTCATACTGAAGAACTCAGTGGAGGCTGTTATAGCCTGAAAGGGGGGGCAACTCCATATTCATGCCCATGGTTTTAGAATGTGATGTCCAGTAAGCTCAAATAGGGCTGATGGTCATGTGTCCATGCACTTTTGGCCATATAGTGTATAATATGACTTTATTCTTATTACCAAATACTTACATAAGAACAAAGTTAGAGAAACATTTGCTAGATTAAACTTTGACATTGCAACAAATCACAACATATTCTTGCAGTATTATGAGCTCAATGCATGTATGATGTGTCTTTTCACTCTTCATCTATTTTGTATTGTAGTTCTTGTTTATATCTGATAAATCTGTAAGCGCAGCCACGTTTATACTAGAGAATGTACTGTGTCATGGTTAGCCTTCAGCTCCGCCTCTCTCCTGCCTCTGTCCGTAGAATGTTCTGTGTCATGATTAGTGCTGATCCCTCCCTCTTCTTCTCCCTTCCTCTGTTCTCAGGCTGTGCGGTGTCATGGTTAGTGGTGAGCCCTCCCTCTGTCTTTGTTCTGGCCTCATTGCTACATCCTGTTTCTCTCAGCTGAGCAGGGAGGGGGGCAGAGAGTAGAAGGAGTATAAAAGAGAGAGCAGCTCACTGTGTTCCAAACTCAGAGGATCTCAGAGAGCGATACTGAAACTGAAAAGCCATTCAGCTGATATAAAGCTCAATCAGAAGACTTAGTAAGTAGCCGTTTTACTATTTTTTACACATACTTACAGATCATGTGTTTTTCAGACATGCTGATTTTACTAATGATTAGTTTTAACATGCAGTTTTTACTTTGTAAAGAAGTTCATTTAACACTTTCAGACTTACTAATTCTCCTACTGTTTAGTTTTAACTTGTACTTTTAACTGAATCAGGGATGTTTTTTTAAATGGTAGAGCAAGCATCACACTGAACACTCTCTCTACCAGTCAAAGGGGAATTCCACAGTGCTTTCAAAATTTCTGCATAATTAAATCATTAAGATATTAACAGTCATTCAAGGTAATTTAATGTGTAATGTTCTGTTTCTGTAGACAAACATACTAAGTCTGGATTTTCACAGTGGTAGTGATAGGAACCAGACAGCTGAAGAGTTTATTGTTTCTAAAAGCTCCCTCACAGAAAGATACTACATGAAATGCTTACAAATATGCTGTCTGATGCTATTGTTTTACTGCACTTTTGGCCTAAAACATGTTCATGGCAGAGAAGTACTAACATTTTAAGGCCAAAGAAACCTTATGTTTTCATATTTAACACTATTTTACCATCACCGGCACTACATATAAAGCTCAGAAGACACTTGTAGGTTTACTAATCACTTTAACTAGTAAATATAATGTCTATATTTGTGCTGTGGACATTGTCACCCCTGGTTACTATCACCATATCTCAATAATTGAATTCTGGAGAAATTTGGAAAAATCAGCGGAATTCCTCTTCAAGTTCATGCTTTTGGGAATCTGGAGCTTTAGGCTTACTGATAGCACTCATGTACACTCACTGTAAGATGCTGAAATACTGAGGTTTAGCAGAGATTATGCAATGAAGCAGTTTTAAGTAGCTAATCTTGTTTTTCTTCACAGAAAATGGAAGTAGATAAGAAGAGTCTGCAGACTGAGAAGACCCAGATCACAGACTGGTAAATGCAAAATTAATCAAACAAATAAGTATAAATAAATACATCTTGTTGCTGTTAGAACAAACCCTTGTATTTCCAATAAGGTAACTATGGAAAAAATTCCGCTTAACTTTTAATGGAAGTGAATACACAGAAATGTTTGTCTAATTTTGGATAATTTCTGTTGGTCTTGTTGCGACAATATATAAAGTTTATCTCCATTTTGATCAATTTTTATTTTTCAACACCATTTGAACACAGCAACTGCACTGTGTATGATGATTCATGACAAACAGACCAGAAGAAATGCTCTAAAATCTTTTGTAATACAACTTCTCATTAACTTGTTAAAAGTTACGACCATTTTTGGCCTCACCTATTAAGTCACCATTTTGGAGATCCTTATTTTGAGCAGCGATGATGTGCTTATACATATATACTAAGTTCAGTGATATTAGAGCTTAATATAGTTCTATGAGTGAGCTGATTGTTAACGTGGCTTTGGATCTCTCTCTCTACAGTGATCTGTCCGAGCAGATAAAAGCAGCGACTAAAGAAAGCCACAGCCGAGCTGAGAACACGCAGCTGATGCTGGCCTACCAGAGGGGACAGGTCACTCTGCCACAGTATAAGGTCAGCCATCCGCCTGGACTCACTCATCAGCTCACTCATCACAATTACAACTCATTTCAGCCTGGACTGCGTTTTAAAGGAGGCATAATACAGGGCAGCCAATCAGAACAGAGCTTGTTCACATATATATCAGTCTTAAAGACACAGTAACAATAACAGCCTGTTTAATTGTAAGGGATAAAGAGAAGGTCAGCATCTTCAAAGCATCTACAGTGGACTCTCAAAATGAAGTGTAAACTAATGCCACTTTCTCTCTCTTCAGCTGCTGCTGTGTTCTCTGTATAAGATCTACGAGGCTCTGGAAGAGGAACTGGACAGGAACTGCTCACATGATGGTGTTGCACCGATTTACTTCCCCCAGGAACTGGCCAGGCTGGAGTCCCTCAAGAAGGACCTGGAGCATTTCTATGGTCAGAACTGGAGAGAGCAGCTTGTTGTACCAGCCGCTACACTGAGATACGCTCAGAGACTGAGAGAGGTACCAGATAAATCACAACCGAAAGCTTTTGAAGTTGATTTTTAACATGCAGCACCTAAAGTAGATCCTTATGGCGTAAACCAATTTCTTGGGGGGTGGAGTTTTGAAGTGTTTTATAATTATCTATGAGGAATTCCCTTTTAAACATCAGCATCGGGTCTGCGATTATATGGCCTGGCACTGTACCTACAACAATTAGTATACAAATAAAAAACTAATGATCTGAGGATACTTAGTAAAATGTGCATTTTATTTAAATCTCCTCATTTTATTCCTTCTTAGATTGGTAAGGATTATCCTGAGTACCTGGTGGCTCACGCTTACACTCGTTACCTTGGCGACCTGTCAGGTGGCCAGGTGTTGGGCCGCATTACCCAGAAGTCTTTGGGGCTGAAGAGCGGAGAGGGCTTGGCGTTCTTCACGTTCCCAGCCGTGAGCAGCCCGAATTTGTTCAAGCAGCTGTACAGGAGCAGAATGAACAGCATTGAGCTGACGGGGGAGCAGAGAGAGGGCGTGCTGCAGGAGGCCATCAGAGCCTTCCAGTTCAACATCGAGGTTAGAACACTGCTTCAGTTAGAAAACTAGTGAACCCCTTATTATTCAGTTATTAATCTTGAGGCTTGTTCAAAAACTACTATGAATTATTCAGTAACTACTATTGCTATTAGACTAACAGTTAAAGAACTGAAGAGTGGACACATATCCAGAGTTTAGGGGCTTTTATAAGTGATACAGTTTAATAACAAACTCATGTTTTCAGAATGTTTATGCTGTACTATCTCTAAAAGATATTTTGATGCACTTCATGATGCAGCCCTCTAAGAGATTCAGTAACTTGAATGTGTTTGCTTTTGCCTTTTCAGGTGTTTGATGAACTACAGAACTTGCTGAGCATCTCAGAGACGAACGAGCTCAGGCAGAGACACAAAACGCCCAGCACAAAGACTCCAGGTAAAAACACATACAAGCTGTGGAAATTCAGCCATAATTAATTAATTAATTAATTAATGCAGCATGTTAATTCTGCAGATCTCTTATATCTCTGACCGATTTAATTACGAGTCATTAGAAAATCATTCAGTACATCATGACATCTCAAATTTAAATTTGATTTAATTATTTTTTACAAATACACTGAATACAATTGCAACTGGAGGATCTATTTACACAATAGTTCACTGACAATAAAAACTAAAGCCCGGCTGATATCGGTTGGTTAATAGCATTAATAGCCGATATTGACGGCCCACATTATTATCGCATAATGCACCAATAATTACTGACTTTTTTGGTTGCATCATTACTGGGATTCAAACTTGCATCTTCCGCTGATAAGGCAAATCCTAATAACAGCAAAAGAACCTAATATGAGTCACCCTCTGCTTAACTATGTCCCAGCAATACAGGCTGAACTGGTGAACCTAAGCCCAAAAACGCAATCATTGTTAAAATGGCAAAAACATGTAAAATATGTCTAAACATAACCTTCAGCATGAGAGTCATTCAAACATGTTTTTATGAAGAGAACTAGCGAAAAATAAGCTAATTTACATAAAACCAAAACTGCGAAGAATTCTGGGTGGGTCCTCCCACAGTGCTACAGGATGAATATTATAAAGGACTGTGACCATCCGCTGTTTATTTCTCACAATTGCAAACTGACACATATTCAATATCCAAAAGCACTGTTAAAACTGTTGCAGTATAGATTAACAGTATAGATAGATAAAATAAAATTATATCAGCCGTTATCTGTACTGTACTTTTAGACTTCAATAAAAACAATACACCAAGCTTTTATGGGTAAAATGAATGAATGAACTATATTATTCAATTCAGTATGATACAATCGTATCTCGAATCAATAAATTTTCCGATACAGTAAAAATAATGGCTGATAATGTGCCTTTACATGCCTGTACAATAATTTTCAGTTTATTAGAGTATTTAAAATGACAAAAATACAATATTTAAAACCTTTTATAATCTAATGTTCTAGGCACAAGCTAATATGTTAAACCTAAGCAAGTACACCTGCCAACACTAAGCTAACATGCTAGTCGTGTTACAAAATATGATTCAATACAATACACTGTGATACAATTCAGTACAATATGATATGTTGTACTGTTACATCTCAACAAGCTTTATGCAAGTGATGCATGGACACTTTTTATTAACCCTTCCTCTCTCTCTCTTTTGTTCTGCAGAAGCCAAATCAGCCCAGAGTTTGCACCTGTCCCCCTATCTGGCCTCCAGCTCTCAGCTGCTCAGGATGCTCCTCGGAGTGTGCGTAGCTCTGGCAGTCGGCATGGGAATCTATGCATTTTAATCACACTCAGCTTCTGGCTGTGCCACATGTAAAGTACTGTATACTATGTTAATGGTTATTGTAGATAAACTGTACAGTTACCCGCTGACTGGCGGTGGGTGAAGCTTTCCAGGAGCTCCAGGATCAGGAGTCATCTTTGTACAATTCCAGCCTGATGCAATTGTCTCAAATGCACTTTTAACAAGACGTGGACCCCAGTTTAATACTTTTTCAACATGCCCTCACCAACTTCGCCTCACCACCAAGAAGCATGTCACACCTGTGCTACACAAGCGGCCTTTCACAGCAGAAGGGGAGGAGGGGAACACCCTCACCCGTGGCTACGTTAGCCTAAGTTAGCCATACAAACGTTGTAATGCAAAACCTTTTTTTGAGGAGTTTGAACATAACCTACATAAATTTAGTGAATTATTTTCTTTTTCTGCCTGTAAGTTTGGTTTGAAATCATGCTGCACTGCCTTACTTCTCTGTAACTGCTAGCTGTGTAGCCTTTAGCGTTAGCAAGTTAGCAAGTTTGCTGACTGAAACCCAGTGTGAACATAGCAGCTTGAATATTATGATTTAGAAATATGAAGCGTTTTAACGTGTTTTATTGCTATGGCTTATGAACAGCTTTGTCCACCAAGTTTTTGGGGTTTGAAAAGGGAAATGTGTGATTTCTGGGCAGGTTTCTCAGTCCCTCACCCTTCTGTAGGCAGTACTCAAGCTAATAAAGTAAAGGAATGGCCATAAGATGGCTGAAATGGTGGGGCCAGGTGGACGATGGCATGCTTTAGAATGGGGTCAGATTGTGTATACTCTGTGTAGTTGTTAGCAAAGATTTTTTTATCAGTTTGTTCTCTGATTATCAATCCTGCACTTTCTTAATGAAGAGCTCAGTAACGAAACTGGGCTGAGAGGTAATATGCACTTGTTACTGTATTATGGTATGATACAGATAGTTTTCTGTACTGGATATAGAAGTGTGTGAATGTGTACGGTTATAAGAAGGCCTATTGTGGTGTGCATTATTACATAACAGATAAATGCAATTTCAGTAATGTGCATTTTGAAATGATGTAAATCTTGAATACCTGTACATTTTTTGATAGACATACATATTTGCCTTTTTTTAAGAAAATAAAAGATTAAAGCAAAGTAAAACTTTGTGTATTGATTTGTTTGAAGCTTAGAAATGTTCAAAAACATACCATTCACTTCCCAGTCCATACAGTTCATATACTGAAGCTAAGCTGCAAAAACAGCCTGTTTCATTATAAGAAATAAAGAGAGACTGGAAAACGGTCAAGTGGAAAGGAATTATGGGTATTTCAGTACACAAAGACCATAGAGATGTTCTCTGGTAAAGAAATGTAGAAAAATATAGGATATGAGGCCTTTAAAAGAATTGGGCCTCCTAACAACCATGCAAGACCTGGTAGACACCAAAACTGTCCCCATCAGATAAACAGCACTTAAAGCTTTCATCTTTGAGAGAGAGGAGAAAATTAAGCTGCTTCAAATCTGAAAACATCCACAGGTGTTTCTGTCCATCCTTCCACTGTGAGAAGACAACTCAGTGCTATGGGTCTGAAAGGATTTGTAGCTGTCAAGAAGCTCTAACTGAGAAAAGGAGACAGATACATCAAACAAAGAAGCTGAACAGTGGACTGACCAGACCTCAACATCACTGAATGTGTTTGGGATCAATTGGATTGTGAGAAGCAGAAATGCAACCAACTTCGAAGACTGAACTTTGGAGGTGTGGAAAAATATCTTTGCAGATTTCTTTGAAAAAGCTGAAAGTCAGTCTCTAAACCAAACAATCAGGTAAGACTGCATGAACTGTGGGTGTGTTAAAAGAGGCTGAAAACTGAAACAAAAGCTTGCAGGATGAAGAATGGATGTGGGTTTCCTTTAGAAAAAAAGTGTATCTAGAGATAAGAGCCTGAATGTGTAGTCATCGCTTTCTCTGGTCTCTTGTAAAAGATGACCCCAAATGGCCACCAGTATTCTAGAGTAGTACTCCAAAAGGACTAGTATGTTCAAAATCAAAGTATCAACTAAAAATAGTAGACAAAAGTGGCCAGATGTTGTGCTGTTCAGTTCAACTCTGAAGTACATGAACACTGGGCACTATTCAGCCCCATAATTCCAGCAAAACTTTGAGAAAAATAGTGGATATTCTTAAGAACACAACATATTGTCACTATGAAATGGTGACTATATAGAATTAAAAGGGAATTTAGCTGATTTTGCAAATATTCCGCATTATTAAACCATTAAGATGTAAACAAAGCCATTCAGAGTGGTTTGGTGTGAAATGCTCCATTCTACAGAAATTTACTGAGTCACAATTGTTCACAGTGGTGATGATAGGAACCAGACATCTTAAGTGACCAAATACTACATTACAGAGAGTTTCTTATATAAAATGGTCACAAACACATTGAGGCAATGTTTTAGGCTTTTGGCCTAAAAACATATTTTTAAAATACATTTATATCAGAGAGGTTCATGCAGGGGGTTAAAAGCCAAAATAGACCCCAAAGAAAGCTTCAGTTCAGAAAACAAAAAACAGTATTTTTCATCAACATTACACATAAAACTCAGAAGACGTGTAGGTTTACTGGTGGTTTTGGATAGTAAATAAAATAGCTATATTTGGGTTGTAGATATTGTGACTCCTGGTTCCTATCACCATCACTGTAAAGAAATCTGAGGCAGTAAGCTTCTCTACACTGAACCATTTCAGACCAAACCACTCTCTGACTTTGCTTACATCTCGACCATTAAATTATATTGAATATTTAAGAGATTGCGGAATTCCCCTTTAACGTACGACATGATTTTTGACCATTTCTACTGATCCATTCATCATGGAATGATCACACAGTGTAAAGTTGGTGTAAATAAATACATGAGGTTTTGATATGACAGTAATGATGTGATACAGAAATAGTAATGCGATTACTTTATGTTCATCAGAGTGTTTCTTCTTGGCACAGGCTGGCTGACACCAGATGTTGAGAAGGCCCCCAGAGGCGCATTCAAATTTATGCTCCACATCAACCAGCATAAAACCATGCAGCCCTTCACCGTCCAGCTGAAACATGTTCTTGTCTCGATAGAGGCGGTGGAGTGCTGCAGTTATATAGCTCATCAAAGCACCATGCCTGTCTTCGTCCACCCACAAGATCTTTTATCTACAGCTCTGCTGATTCTCTTTCTCTCCGGTTGTTTTGAAGTCACTGCATCCCTTTTTGAAGGCAGCCATCCTTGAAAAAACGTCAGCCGAACATAAGGGTCAGCGTCGTTTAGACCAAGAATACTGAACGTGATACGGTAGTCCTTCCTCCAGGCTCTGGTGTTTTTCACAAGTATGGTGAAGATCAAACACAGGCAGATGTTTAAAATAAGTCTGGCAGACTACATCACCGGCAGATTGATATAGTAATAAAGTGCCTGTACAGCTGGTAAACAGGGATATGTGATATATCAGCAGCCAACACCCTGTTTGCCAATAAATAGGAAAATGTAACTATGATTTTAAAAATAAAAGTGCTACAAAGGCTTCTTAGCAGCAATTCTATAGTAGAACCACTTCTACATAATTTAATAGCTGAGAGGTAAACAAAGTAATTCTGAGTGGTTTCATGTGAAATGGTTCATTATAGAGAAGCTTACAGACTCTGATTTCTTTACATTGGTAGTGATAGGAACCAGGGGTCACCATGTCTACAACACAAATATAGCTATTTTATTTACAATTAAAAATGACAGGTTTGATATATATTTGAGATATAAATCTGTCAGACATCAGACAGCATATTTGTAACCATTTCATGTAATAACTTTCTGTGAGGGAGCATTTAGATGCATTAAACACTTTGAATGTCTGGTTCCTATCACCACCACTGTGAACAGTTCTCTTAGTAAGTTTCTCTAGAATGCCACATTTTGCATCAAAACACTCTGAAAGCCCTTTTTTACATCTTAACAGTTTAATTATGCTGTAATTTGGAGTTTTGGCGATTTGAAGACCTCTCTGGTGAAAATGTGTAATTGCACACAAGGCACAAAAGAGCATTTTGTAACGTGGGTTGGGGTCTCGGACACCTTCCGGGAGGATGACTCTTCACCAGTATAATAAAGGTTTTACATTTGAGATCTAAACATTGAGCTGGACCTTCTTTTTGAGTCCATTGAGTGACATGAAGGCGTAAAGATGAAGGCGTATGACTTGGTCCGAAGGTATTACAGGGCGACTCACAGCAGCACATGCACATCATATTTGTGTGTGTTTCGTTCTCTTCAACAAAAAATCTCACATAGTGCAGCTTTAAGGTTTCTTCCATATGTTGTTGATTGAAGGGGTCTTTATTGAAACAAAACAGGTTCTTCTAAGGCATTGCTCCAAAGAACCCATATTGAATTTCTGTCAATAATGACAAAAGATATTTTGGTGACCCATTCTGGCTCACATACTGATACATAAGTCATGTTTTGATGCTGCAGAGTCAAAGTGTTTTCAGCAGAGGATGCCAGAATTGCAGTTCGCAACAAAAATTTGGCTGAGAAAGAGCTGACGGGAAAACACTTTAAACACTTTAATACCAGTAATGTAATTAGTCATTTAAAACCTCATGATTTCAGTGGTAGCTTAATGAATATGAGGCATTTAGCATTTGGACTGCGCAACATGGCAATATTTATCGTTATTCATAAATTACATCAAAATGTGTCACAACATGCTTTTTTGAGTGTATCATGAATATCATCAGTTCTTAAAAAACATTTCCCAACTGCATGTTTGATTACAAAGAGAGCATAATTAGTCCTGTTTAATTGGATTTACTGAAGCACAGTATATGAAATATTTAATATAAATCATTGCGCTTATAGTTTTTGATATTACTTTATGAACTGTCAAGCATTAGCGTCTTTAACCTGTTTTGATCTCAATGTACTCCATATATTCATTATAGCATAAACATGTTTACAAAGTTAAAAAGTAAAAGTTTCAGTTATTGTTATCGGCAGCGGCACAACAGAGCATTAGTTATCACTTAGCAACTGTTCAGCTGAGAAGCTTGTATCAGTACATTCCTACTGGATGTTGGAATTCAGACAGATATGATGCCATTTTGCTCAGCCTGGACAATTCCCCTAGACAAATAACAAAGCAGTTCACGTAACTGCAGACAAAAGATCAAGTTGTTCCACAGAAAAACAAAAACAAACAGTGAAGAGTGACTTCAGTCCGCTGCCTACGACATAAGCAGATCATTCAATCACAACACACTGCAGAGACACTGGCTGTTTATTTCTGCTAACTGGAAGATTGTCCCTATAATAAATTACATTATGATTTTATGGGTTTCTGATTCCCGGACAAAAACAGCCTGAATTGCCCAATAACTGAAAGTCTATAAATCAAAACAATTTATTAAAGAAGCAGCTTCTCAGACGCAAAAGTGGACGCAGCAGAAACGTTAGCATCAGCTTGTGCACTTGCTGTTGGACATTGAGTAATGGGAATTATCTATAAAAACATGCAATGAAAAAAGCAATGCTCTGAAACAGCTATTTATTTATGTGTACATCATTTCAACATGAATAAAATATATTACACTGAAATAATTGTGTTCATGTTATACTAATGTGGCACCAGTAGCCTATACACAACACAGAAACTCGTACTGAGGCGCTCGTGGACATTAGAATGAAACTTGTGGTGGTCATTTGGTGATGAAACCTTCTTACAGGATGAAGGTTTCTGTATTTAGCACTGCTATAATAGGGCTTTGAGCAACAATGAATCCAGTGGCAGCTACGGTGGCCAGAACAAACCCTATGCTGTTCTGCACATGCATAAATTGCTTCTTCCAGCCGCTGTGGGCTGCTGCTCTGCACTGCAGAAACCTCAGTTTGCTGTAGTCACTAAAATGTGAGGTGTGAGTTAATATCATACTTTTCTAGTGTGTTAAATTAGAAGTTTATTTACATTAGATAACATCAGTGAGTGTGTTTACATGCACTCAATAATCCAATCATAATCAGATTTCTGCAGTTATCTGATTATTCAATCGGTCACGTAAACAACACAATTTCTTAGATCGGAGTAAGGTCTAGGAATCTGATTAAGAAATCCGATAAAGAAAGCTGGATTTTAACTCAGTAATCAGATTTCTCAGTGCATGTCAACTCTTACTCTGATTTCTTTCGGAATTCTCAGTCTGCGCATGTGCGAAATCAGGCAGCGGTACCAGAAATAAGCAAGCAGCGTTGTTGCACGATGCAGCAAAACACTTTTGGAGTGACACTGAAACCAACTACATGCTTGACGAAATGAAGGATTGAAATTTTTTTCCTCTTCTAGATGATGTATGTTCATATTTTCAGGTAAAGTGGCACAACGTTTAAAAAAAAGTTGCAGCAGTTTTACATTATGTTTACGTTACATGTTCTGCTGTGAGTTTATTGGCTGGTTGCAAAGTAGAATCCGATTACTGTCTGACTCATGTGGACATGGAGTTTCCCATTATCTAATTACTCAAGTGCATGTAAACGCGTTGATTGTATCACTGACAAAATCTGATTTTCTGCAGTTATCGGATTATTAAGTGCATGTAAACGGACTCATTGCTCCTTCAGTAAATTCAGAGCATTTTTTTAAAGTTACGGATTATTTCAGTATTTTTCTACTTATTTTTGATATGTTGTCAGGTGAGCAAATACAACAGTGAAACGCTCTGTTTTGCTATTATTAATTGAAAAAGTTTGTGTTTTATCATATTTTATGTTGCCACTGTTTTATAAGAGCAATAAGCCACCTGAAGCTGCGCGCTACAGTGATTTTACCCACAGATAAGAGTGTTTTACTCAACTTAATTCAATAAGCCACCGGAGGCTGCATGTTACAGTGATTTTACCCACAGATAAGAGTGTTTTACTCAACTTCACACTGTAAACTATAAGATACACAGTTTACAACTGTAAATGTGTCAAATCTAATTCCTGTTCTCTAGACAACCCATCCAAGAAAAAGTCTTTTTTGTCACATTTGAGGACAGCCAGCAAATCTTTAATTCACAATCACCTGAATAACATTCATAGTCATAAGGATAGTACTATTAATACAAATATTTATTGTGTATAGCTTTCTATACTTACATGGACATTTTGAAAGCTGACCTGCATGATGAGAAAACATAATCTTGTATACACCATTATTCATACTTTACAGAGATTTGCACATTTTTCCACACCTCGCGGCTCCCAGGCATGAGGAGTGAATGCCGCAGCTTTCAAACATAAAACAGCTCAGCATAACAAATGTAGCATTAGGGAGGCAACATCCTAGTAACCAGACACTGAAATTTAGCACTGCAATAGTGAAAAAATTTAATTACTCACAACATTTGTAGTTTTCTATTAATTTGTTCCCTTGTGCTGCATAACAGGCGAATACTGATGTAAAACCTTCCTGTAGCAAAGGTCTGTTAGTTGTTATCCGTTAGCTGTCCTGACATACAAGTGCCTTAAAGGAATAATCCAGTGCTATCCAACTAATGCTCTATGTGCCACAGCATACAATTGATTACAACAGACAAAAATTGTGAGGCATTTCACTGTACTTGGTAAAAGAACAGAAGCAACTGCCCACTGGCTTCTATTATAAGTCTGCTTTCAGTAAACAAGCCTTCTGTTCTTCTGTTCTAAGTATACGGGAATATATAAGTTAAATCAATCCTATTATAACCATAGTGGCTTTTGAGTAGTTTCTGACATTAACTGTCCAGCTTTAAAAACGCTCCATTTAAACTGTTAGTACAGAGCATTAGCTTCTTCATGATAGCCTGTGATACAGTGGGGAATGGTTCGAAAGCTGCAGGTCATGGGTATGAATCAGTGTCCACTGGAAATACACTGATGTACAAAAAGACATTATATTCTATTCAAAAACATCTCAAAAATAAGCTCTCTTTCCATAAAAATCATTATTAGACATCGTTAATGACACTTAATAAAATGGCACAAGCACAGCTGTTCTTTACAGAAGGCTAAAAGGCAGCTGGGTGAAGTTCTTCATGGGTTTGAGCAGTGCGTGTCAGTGCTACCTGTTCCTCCTTCATTATTCTGAGTGAGTTAGAGAGAGAAGAGCTGGTCCTGAGCGCTCTCCTGTTTCTTTGAGGACTGGGACGGCTGCTGTCGGGGGTTTGTTGCAGTGGAGGAGTTTTTCTGGACAGTAGGGAGATGCTCCACCGCTTTAGCTCTGTCAGCCAAAAACTTATCAAACTCTGCAGGATGAAGAAAACCAGACCAATTAGAGCTGGAAACAGAGTGACAGAAACGGAGCAAACAAGCAGATACAGAATACGAAGAAGTGAGGGGAGAGAGTGATACAGACAGGGAGAGAGAGAATGAGAAAAAAGAGAGGGGGGAAAATGAAGAGAAAGAGAGGGAGATGTGAGAAAGAAAGACAGAGAGAAGAAAGACAGGAAAAAAGAGAATGGTGAGAGAAACATACCTTCACTGGTCACTCCTTCACCATCCTCAGCATCATTCTGAAAAAAAAAAAAACATTTACCATTACATCAAATAATCCAGTGAAAATATTACATTAACATCAACTAATGTATGTTATGCAGCACATTATGGATGCCTTACATGGTACATATAAAATGTATACTTTTAGAATTAGTTTATCATTATATCTCCATAACTCAAACATTATCGTTTACCAGTGGCAAACGCTGACTATTGTGCCAGACCTTCAGTACTGGACACACACTATATGTCCAAACGTTTGTGAACAGCCTATCTTACAAGTGAATTCAGCTGCATTAAGGTGCACTCACTGCTGACACAGGAGTTCAAACATACACACACAGCTTGTTTAATCTCCATAGAAAAGCATTAACAATAGAACAGCGTGCCCTGGAGCAGCTGAACATGAGTCTCAAGTCACCATGTGCAATTCCAAGCGCAGGGCAGAGGTGTATGAAGCCCTCCAGCACTGAGCTGTTGAGTTCTCTAAAATGATGGAGCACCAACAAACACCTTTGGGATGAGTTGGAGTGGCGTCTGTGATCCAGAACTAATCATCCAACATTAATACCTGATCTTGCAAGTGCTGCCACTGCTGAATGCAATCAAGTCCTTACAGCAATGTTCCAACATTTAGTGTACAGCCCTCCGCAAAGAGTAGAGACAGTTACTCCCGCAGAGGGTTACACACTTCTTTTTAATGCTTTCGAGTTTGGTAGAAACATTGGACGAGCAGGTGTCCACAAAGTTTTGTCCATATAGTGCAGTTCACCTTTAGCAGCTTTACAGCGAGTCTTTACTGACAGAGTCCTGACATAGAGCTGCTGCTGTTTTCTAATTCTAACATCTGACTGAAACTGATTAGGCTACAGCTTGTATTTGCCATCAATGACGTATCTAGAATTTCCAGAAGGCCTAGAGTAACATTTGTTTCTCTCTAAATTGGCCAACCCCATTGTGAAACAAAATGTGATTGAGTGATGCTATTGTTACTTCCCAATGGGTTAATCTAGTGTGTAAGGCCTTCAATCCAGCTCCTGAAGCCCTAACCAATAGGAGAGCTTGCTTGGCTGTGTCTACCCAGATACCATAGAAAAAACTGATTGGCTCATTTTCTTTTGCGTGTTTCAAGAATGTAACTACTATGAAAACATAACAATGAAACAAGAGTAGTACTGTGATACTGTGATGGAGTTTTAATACAAGCATTATCCTGTTGAATAAAAATGTTATTTTTTTACTAGTATTTTTTCATTCCCAGAAATCATTAGCATATAATGATTATAGATTATAAAAGTATTTATAGAAGGTACTGAAGTTTCTCCTGTTGTTTGCTGACATGATGTAATTAACTATAAAATATTCTCTTTACCTTTCAGCTTGCATTGATTCTAGGGGTCACTAGATGGAGCTAGCACATTACCACAATCTCATATTCTGTTTCTGATCTCCAAGAGGTCAGAAGAAACTGAATTCATGAACTGTTTAGACTGTGGTCCATGTGGAGCAAAACAATAAGCAGCATAAATTTTAGGTTTACCGGTTCTTCAGACAACCACTTCTCAATTTCAGTCATAGCAGCAGTCTGTGGTGCTGGCACCTAAAAGACACAAAACAGCTCATATTAAATGCCATTACGAAACACTATGCATTATACAACAATGTGTATAAAACAGCTTGACTCACTGAATTTCATATCGTCACTGTCATAACAACTCTCTTTACACCATTTAAAAAGCCCAGCTGCCCTTTACAATGTGTGAACATTTCACAGTGAATGGACCAATAAAAACAGTCCAAAAAATAATCTTGTTACATTAATGTACATTAAAGGACAATTCCACTGGTTTTCAAAATTTCTGCATAATTAAACCATTAAGATTTAAACAACATCATTACAGTGGTTTGATGTGAAATGCTCCAAGCTCTGCAAAGTCAGAACTGTTTACAGCAGTGGTGATAGGAACCAGATGCCTGAAGAGTTTGTATTTAGAAGCTTCTTCACAGAAAGTTGTTACATGAAAAAAAAGTATTTTTTAGATACATTCATGGTGGAGAGGGCCTTATAAATCAAAAAGAAAATGTTTTTTTCTTTTTTCTTTCAGATTTACGACTATTTTTATCACAATCAACATTATATATAAAATCTCAGAAGATAGATGTAGGTTCACCGGTCATTTTGGACAGTAAATAAAATGGCCACACTTGTTCACCCTGATTCCTATCACCACCACTGTAAAGACATCAGAGTCAGTACATTTGTCCATAATTGACCATTTCAAATCAAACCACTCTGAATGACTTTGTTTACTTCTCAATCACTGAATTATGCAGAAATTCTGAAAAATCAGTGGCATTCCTCTTAACGTTTAGAGTTTTGAAGTTTTAGAGATATGTCTATTTTTTATTTCTGCCTAATTTACTTATTTACTATTTCTTTCTATTTTTATTTCTGCCTTATTTCTGCGTTATTATATGTCTTGCTACTGTAACACTGCAATTTCCCTTCGGGATCAATAAAGTTCTTAGTAAAGATCTTTCTATCCATCTATCCATCCATCTATCCATCTATCTATCCATCCATCCATATGAGGGTTTGTTATGACAGTGATGATATGCTCCTCTGTATTGTCAATTCTTTCAGTCCAAAAATCAGACAAAGAACAGTGTAACCTTGACGATTAAATCTGCTATCTGTCGAGAAAATCATCAGCCATAAGCGCCATTCATTTCACATTTCATACAATTCATTGAGAACACAGGCTGCATGCATTCATCAACCCACAATCACAGAAGCCTGGAGGGGATCATGCTTCAATTCTGCGGTACATTCTCCACTGTTATTAAAGACAGCTGGTAATGTTTACATCTATTTTGTTTACATGACCTCAGCTATATGCTGCATATACAGTAGGTATTCATTCCTGGATTCTGACCATTTTCTTACCAGACAGGATGTTTACTGTTTCCACTATTTACTGATTAAACACAGCAATCAGAGCGGTACGAAACAGTGCACAGGTTACTGACTACTTTTTGACTACAGGTAGAATTCTTTCCATGAATTTGTAATGAGCCAAACAGCAAGGCTAGAGGCCAGATCAAACAGAGAGCCAGAGAGCACCTTTAAATTGGTCTGGGAGCTGCTCAGTCTTGTTCTGCTTTAACAGTTCAGTCATTAAACCTCAGCAAATTGTCCACAGTTTCAAAGGCTTACAATGCAAACAAACTCCAGCTGCTTAGTGATGTGTACAAGAATGTTTTCCTTATTGCACATACAGTATTAACCTAATATTACTGTACACAGTGCAAAGCGAAGTGATTACGATACAATATAAATTAGAAGATTATGTATCGTTTCCATGTTGTTTCCTAATTTGGTAAGTGGGTGATTCTCTCAATGTAATGGGTGTCTCCTATCATAATGGGAGAAGGAACGATCCCACCGAATGTGTGCCTCTCAGAGGGCTTAACACTGGTAGAGAATAACGCTGAAGAAAACAACTGAAGCTTCTTTGCAAAGTATGATTGAGATTGCTCAGCACCTATACTCCATCACTGAGGTAGGGAACTTTTCCATTCAGATCTTGTATTGTATGGACTTGTGAAGTACAGATTGCAAAGCATGGACTGTAGAGTATACATTATAGGCTATGGATTGTGGGGTATGTATTAGAGTATGGATTATGGATAATGGATTTGGGAGTGTGGATTATAAAGTGTGGATTACAGAGAGTGAACAACACAGATTTTGGAGTATGGACTGCAGAGCACACGTTATGTAGCAGGGATTATGGCATGTGGAGGATGAATTATAAATGGTGGATTGTAGATTATGGATTTCAGAGAATTAATTATGGCAGGGGTCCCCAAACCCAGTCCAATGCACTGCACATTTTTACATTTTCCTACTCTACATGGCTGACCCAGTCAACGAGGTGTTTATTAATTAGTTAATGAGTTAAATCAGGCATTTTTTAATGAGGAAAAGCACAAAAATGTGTTGGGTCGTCAGGACTAGGATTAGGAACCCTTAGATTATGAGTAGATTGAGGAGTATGGATTGCAAAGTAAAGGTACTGCAGTGTTGATTATGGAGCTTAGATTGCTGAGCATGGATTGTGAAGTGACGGCATGGAGTACACATTATGAAGTGCAAGGACTGAGGAACAGGTACATCAGATCTTGGATTATGGAGTGAAGATTGTGGAGTTTGGATTGTGGAGGGTGGAGTGTGGATTGAGGAGCACGGATTGATGAGCAAAGACTATGGAGTGAGGATAATGGAATGTGGAGTATGTGTTGTGGGCTGTGCATTGTGAATTATGCAGTATAGATTATGGAGAATATATTGTGGATAATGGAGCGTCTATCTCATCAGTCTGGAACCCACCAGCACTTCACTGTACATGTCACTGTAAATCCACTGAGACTGTAGAGTCCAGTTGCTTGTCTCATCCTTTACACAATGAAGCAGGTACACACACACACACTGGGTTAGTATGTTAGCATGCTGTTGGTTAGTACACAAAACAGATAAGCAAAAAGCAAAAGCACAAACTCTAAAGAGCTCCTAAGTAAAATCTTTCTTTTAATGTTATTTGAGAATATATTAGATTTTGTGATATTAACTGTGAGTTAAAACTTAGTTCTATCTTTTTAGAACAATTTATAATGAAGAAAACTGTTAGCACATCTGATTCACACTCAACATTTCTATACAACTTTCTACCTCAAATTTTACACATTTCTACCCGACTTTTTTCCCATATTCCACAATTTCTACACAATTTCCTTCTTCAATTCTACACAATTTCCTACCTAAATTCTAAACCTTCTACCTCAATTCTAAACAATTTTTCCACTCCAGTTCTACACTATTCTACCTAAATTTCACCCGATTTTTGACCTCTATTGTACACAATCACACATTTTTTATAACTGTTGCTGATGCTGCCAGTGCTTAAGTCAATATGTTAAGTCCAAATTAACAAACATGTGGGAGTTAAATTAGTACTGACCCCTCCGGTGACCTGAAGCCGAGTGTCCAGTGCTCCAGCCAGACCCTCTACTGCACCAGGGTCTTCATACCTAACACTGCAAACACACAGAAATATAAAACATACAAACCTTGATACAGATCATAACCCACGTCTGAAAGATCTTCACACAGCTCAAGCAAATTCTAACAGCTACAAATCTCTGCTCACTTGGGACATTTGGGATTTATTTAGTCAGACTATGATCTTGTTTTAGTGCTGTTAGAATAGAACCATATGGATATAAATATGTATAGATTTATGTGAGCATGTGTACACTGAATTTGTTCATTTGTTTGATGCTGTATGGCCATGTTCTTTGATTTTTAGAGAGGCTGAAATATCACAGCACTGAACAGTGTAGTGTTTTATCTGCTCTGATAAGCATTATTAAATTATTAAAGGGTTTATAACATGACTAATTCATAATTTTATTTGATTCAGGTGTGTTGGAGCAGCAAAAACCCTGAAGTGAGCAGTACAGAACAGGGCTGCACAATATATTATTGGTTAATCGTCACAACAGTAACTTTTGTGACAATAATATTGTAGGAGGCTCCAGGAAACACAGAGTGAAATATTAAAAATGTTTGTATGATATTAAATTAAAGTGTTATATAAAACATCCAGCAAAGTTTGAATGAAGAAAACAAAATAGAAATATAGTAAAATGCAGCTTTAAAACCACTGATCAGACCTATGTGAGAACCGACTGGGCGTGGCATAAAATTCTAATAAGCCCAAGATTGACATCCCTCAGTCCAACACTCCTAGACTGCTGAGCCACTAAAAGAAGAATTAAACATGCACAAGTTAGTAGAATGACTGAAACTGGCTCCACATATGCAGGTAGAACCCCTCTGTCCACTCCAGTGAAGTGTCCACTCACTAAAAACATTATCCAGCTTTTGTATGATGTTGTCTTAAAGAAGGTGAGGTTCTTATTCACTTTACTGCTGGATGGATCCAGGGAATGATGGCATGGCTGGCTGAACAAACAAATGGTTGATGGGTAAATAGACAGAAGATTTAGCTTGTTAGCTTAATATTGCTTGCAAGGTTAGCTTCCGCTTGGTTGTTAGCTTTCTCTCTGTAAGTTTCTCTGACTTGAACACAGAAAGACTGTGGGGGGAAACAGCTTTGTTACAGCTGTGTAGGTAGGACAAATTACATGAGCCTCATAGATCTATTTAGGTGACATATAAAATCTACAGTACCATTTAAAACTTGTCATTTAATGATTGTTATTCAATAATAATTTAAACTAGACACTAAAACTTAAAACAATGGGTTGTTCACATTTTAAACCATTTTGAGAACAACTAGAAGTTATAACATGATAATAATAAGTGTTTTTAAATTGTAAACTGCAATATCTATTGCAATTGTATTTTTTTTTAAATGCAGTTAATATGAATAGCTACTTGATCAACAATATTTGGTCATTGCTTGTTGAATATGAAAAAAACAGTCAATATGGTCAAAACAGTGATTCTAAACTTCTGAATGGTTGTGTCTGTGGGCAAACGTGTACCTCTTTCTCTGTTCAGCAAGCGAACTGCCTCTTGTCTGAGCAAACATATCAAATTCTTCCTCTTCTTCTCGAGTTGAAAGGCAGAACAGACAGAGAGTATAATAATTACATGTAGGTTATAAAAATAACAAAAAATTGCGACAGAGTGAAAGAACAAAGAATGAATGTACAGTAATCCCTCACCTGCAGGGACTGCGGTATTGGACGGAGGGTGGAGCACTGGTTGACTGACGGGTTGAAGTGGAGCCTGATTGGCTGATGGTGTAACAGGGTTCAGGTCTATAAGGTTTTCTGTGTCCTAGGGCAGCATACAGGTAATAAGTATTCAAACAAAGGTTTTACGTCATACTTCATGAGAATAATTCACAATCGTACTAAATTACAGAGGTTCAGACTTTTAATAATACATGTAGTATGAATGCGAATGTGAACTTACTTGTCCTGTTGGTGTTCTTTGTGTAACGCTGAGTCTTTCAAACCTTTCAAAGCAAAAGAACAGCAGAACCATCAAAGTGATAAAAGCAAGACTGAGTCATTACATAACTGCAAGATTGCGTTTCTTTGTGATGTGGTAAAGATTTCTCATACGTTTCCTGTTTTTTTAAGATGTTTTCTCACGGGAGCCTTAACCATGACTAAGGAAACACCAACAGTAATCTGTGATCAGTGTAATTACACATGTTCCATCAACACCATGACAAACTAGTACAAACAGCAGCAAAGGCTGTGATGGAATGGTGGCATTGTGGATGCGGCTATGAAGAGGCACCTGTTGCACTGTGTATTACTACAAGTGTCTGACAGTGTGTTACACAAGTAACAGTTTCACCACTACATTACATTACAAAACACACACACACACACACACACACACACACACACACACACAATTTTTTTTTTCACATAAAGAAATATCAGTGCTATATTATGATTCATTTCACCTTTTAATTTCATAAAAATGTGTTTGCCATTATACTTTAGCTGTGATGTCATTTAAAGGTGGCAGCATTTCTGGATCCTGTTTATATATGGTTTCTTCTTTGCATTTTAGAGTTTTAACTTGCATTTGTGGATGCAGCGACAAACTGTTTTCATGGAGAGTCCATGCAGAGATTTCCACTACAGAATCATGTCTGTTTTTAATTCAGTGCCGTCTGAGGGCCAAAGATCACAGCCAGAAAATACTGGTTTTTGACCTTGTCTCTTGCATACAGAGTGTGTGTTATGCTACAGGTGGATCAGACACAGCAGTGCTGCTGGGGTTTTCAGTGTCACTGCTGGACTGCCAACCAAAGATACCAGGCTAACAGCGTCCTGTGAGCAGCGTCCTGCGACCACTGATGAAGGACTAGAGGATGACCAACACAAACTGTGCAGCAACAGATGAGCTACTGTCTCTGACTTCACATCTACAAGGTGGACCAACAAAGTAGGAATATCTAACAGAGTGGACAGTGAGTGGATACAGTGTTTAAAAATTCCAGCAGCACTGCTGTGTTCGATTCCCTCCAGAGCAACACACACTAACACACCACCACCATGTCAGTATCACTGCAGTGCTGAGAATGATCCACCACCCAAATGATACCTGCTCTGTGAGGGTCCTGACCATTGAAGAACAGGGTGAAAAGGGGCTAATAAAGTATGCAGAGAAAGAGATGGACTACATCTGGTCTGTAATTATTGAACTACAAAGGCCACCTATATGGTAAGTGGAGCCGCACATGTCTATTTATTTGCTGAGTTTAACAATTTGGAAAAATGAAACACAAAATATATATGTGCCATAGCTTTTACATAGGCCACATTTCAAACTTTTGGATACAACTGTATTTTTATTTGGCCTACTTTTAAAACGAATCGTCAAAATAATTAGTTCCTTACTAACATAATCGGTGTATAAGTGCAGTCCTAACCCCAGCATTACTGCCTGTTTCACTGTAATGTCAATTCTAATGGAATACCTCTCATAGCGTATGAAAGCGTTGTTTAGATCATCATTCATAACCAGCAGCTCTCCAATCAGCTCTTCTTCACACAGGCAGGGGATCAACTCCACCACTCTCTGCTGCATGCTCTTACACACAGAGTACAACTGCTGCTCTCACACACACACACACACAGAGGAGACGATGGTAAAAAAGACTGTTAAGTTTATATTACTAATTTTATTACATTCCTGGAAGATTCATAATCATAGGGAGCAAGTAAGAAAGTGGTTGTGTAAATGAAATAATAAGCAATGGGGAGCATGTGACACAGGTGTAAGTTAAGGAGTGAGGGGGTAAATGAGGGAGCTAGTGAAGCAGTAGTACCTGCAGCAGCTCTGTATCTGATGGCGAGCTCTCTCCTGGTTTGAGCTGGTTCAGCATCTCTGTCATCACTGTGAGATTTCCCTTAACCAGGTCTAACTCTGCCCTCAGCTTCTGTTTCTATGACACAGAAGCAGACAGTGTTCACTACAGCATCACCCTCAACACACAGATTGCAGTGTTTCTAATTCCAATCCTATTCCAGTCCACCTGGAGTTCAAGGTTTTCTCTCTTCTAAGAAACCTAATTCAGTTCAAGAGGGTCATTCTCATAAAAGCCTCAAACCAGGTCCATCAATAAGAAAGTGTCAATCATCACACAGAAAATCGATGTTCATATAATTAAGTTGATCAATTTCAGCTTTATTTGGTTCAGAAAAAGTTTTAGTTTTTTGGCATTTTTGACTGCAATGTGCCCAACTATCGGTTTCTTGTTACCAATATTTAGCATCTGCTTAGCTTTATTCAATTAAAACTTTGTAAACTCTTAAGGAAGTGAATCAAAACAACAAAATGTTATGTGGCACAAGTAAAAGGGAAAACCTCCATTACTGTCAATGTATTGTGGTAATGAGATAAATTGAAAAATACTATATTTGGTAAGATATATATGTTTTAATAATTAGATTTTGCCAGGGTGATCATGTGACATCTAGCCGCCCGGTTCCACCTATCAGAGATCAGCTTCACCTGACTACTGATGTTTTTCTCCTATGTATTTGATTATGTGATTGTATCCAGTTAGCTTATAAGCCCAGGCTTTAGGCTTAGTTAGTTGTGAGGTATTGCTTCTTCTATAGAGTTACTGAGTGTTCTTGTCTGTGTTTCTGATTTATCCCTTGTGTATCTGATCCTTTGTCTGTATTTATCGACTTTGCCTTTTGCCTGTTCCCCTTTTTGGATTTTGGTTGCCTGGACTTTGTATCTTGTTTGCTCATTCTGGATCTGACCTTCGCCTGTTTTTTGACTTCGATTGTGGATTGTGGACAAACAAGTAAAGCCTCTTTTCATCTTTTACCTGCGAACGTCTGACTAAGTCTGTCCCGCTACAGAGTTAAAATACTCAATAATTAGATTTAAAATACTCAGCCCAACAGTACACAAACTATAAAAAGAGAAGAAAAAAAATCATACATATTAATATTTAATATTTATCTTCAAATCTGACTGCATTGCAATAATGAAAATTTGGTCACTTTGGTCATTTAGTCAATTAAGTAAATTATTCAGTTTTCTTTAATTATTCCACTAGTGGGTGGCAGTCTTAGTCATGTTAGCGAGAATAACCTAGGAAGGACTAATGATGTGTACAAAAACACTGAACTGTGCAGAGCAGGTGGACATCCAGAACAATGGCCCAACACAGCACCAAGCACTCAAGTGCTTTAGCAGTTACACACAAGTTAGTTAATATGTGCAAGTACCTGTTCAGGTGAGATGGGAACAGGTCCCCCATTCGTCTGTGGGGGCTGCGGAGTCTGTGTGGGTGCAGGGTCGGCAGCGTGTGTCCTGGAGACAGCAGGTGCTGGAACAGACGGGGCAGATGTGCCGTTTTCCGGGATGCTCTGGGAGAGGCCATAAAGCAGAGAGAGATCTATATTACTCATCAATACAAATAGAGCAAAGTACACTACAGAATGGCTCCTAATGGCTGTGCTCAGAACTGTTTTGTGCTCCACACAGGAATTAAACTGGATTACATCATCTAGGGTGACTTTTTCTAAGTTGATTTCCTAGCTGTGGGTCCTATGACTCAAACTAACTTCATTTAAAAGAGTAGTTTGACCAAAAAATCTAATTCACACAATTAGCAAGGTGTAAACTGCGTACAGCACACATTTGCCTCAAACTGTTGTCTATTAGAGTAATCTCTAATAGATTGTATATGTAGTTTCTGACACTGTTTGACATACTACTGAACAATCGTATACCACCTAGCTACAACTGTAATAGCATATGTTTTAAGGCCTAAATTTGTTGGTATTTTTGACACAATGCTAATGGGTGTGCATAAGCTTCCATTACTGGTCAGCTACATTAGCCTCAAGAACTATACATAGTGCAATAAACCAGATAGCGTAGATGCAACCTATAGCTGAGGGGGTTTGTTTACTGTAGCTATGACAACGCTGTCCCGGTGTAACCTTCCACCTGCTGACAATATTTGAATTTCAGAAATGTAATATTTGCATTTGTCTCTGTTATGTGTCATCTTTTATGATGACACAGGCTTTTATCTCTGACATCCCTTTTTGACCCTTTCCTCAATAAAATGTTCAACTCAGCTTTTACAAGAGCTCTGCCAAAACTCAGAAGGTACCAGAAATAGACTGAGCAGGTCAGGCAGGTTTGATTGAGTTGGTGTGTTATTTTAAAATGTTTGTGCTACAGGGCAATGGATCCGTAGTAGGGTAAAGTGCAGGGGAATGTAAACAGCTGTAGGGATTTACCCTGCTGGGGGTGTGTATGGGTGACAGAGCATCCAGATCAGTCATGGGAAACTCCAGGCCCCTCCGCTTCAGATCATCATACACGCTCACCACTCCAGACAGAGAAGGAGAATTACGGAAAGCGTCAGCCCACGCCTGTAAAAGCCAGTGTAGGGGTAGTTATCCATTACAAATGACTAAACTACGTTAATTATTACCTGCTGGAAAAGTAACCTCACTACTCATTACTTTACTACTGTGTTACTCTCTAAAATCAATGCAAATCTGTAAATTATTCCTTCCGTGAAATATTCCTTTTCACCATTTTATTTAGAAAGAAAGAGCCAATTACTTCCTATGGCATTAGCAACACTGCCAAGAACCAAACACACAAACAAGCAGGGGTGGGTAATACGATGATATATATCTCTAACACGATAAATCATGTCAAATTACATCACAATATGCTTTTTCTGGGCATATCATAAATATTTACTTACAGAACACTGAAAAATTGCATGTTTCCTTAAAAAGAAAGCATAATTCGACATGTTTAACTGGATTAAGTGCAGTGCTATATGTAAAAAATTGCATAAAAATAGTATTTTTTTAAACATGGGACTACTAGATTTGTCTATTACAACTTCCAAATCTTAGAAAAACATATTTGTTTTACATATTGTGTACCATGAAAATGTCTTGAAGTATCATGAGGTAATATTTTTTGCCATTTCACTGATCCCTACAAGCAAGCCTACTGAGTACTTAACACAACACTCGTCACCTGCCAAATGAAGGTAAATCGTTAGGGGTGGTGGATGAAATGTTCTTCCGCATTACAAGGTTGTGAGAATTTAATTGCATGCAGCCAACCACAGCATTTGTGAGGTCAGGTACTGATGTTGGATGACCAGTTCTGGATCATAAATGTCACTCAAACTCATCCCAAAGCTATTAGACGGTGTGCTATCAGCCCAGAAAATGCAGTTCCACTGCTCTACAGCCCAATGCTGGGGGGCTATATACCCCTCTAGCTGACGCTTGGCATTGTTAGTGGTGACCTCACATGCGGTTGCTCCAGAGCATTTTACTGGTCACAGATTTTCCATGGAGATTATACAAGATGTGAGTGTGCAATTGGGCACTTCAGCAATGGGTGCCTCAGCAATGGCTGCACCTTAAAGCTTATTTCACGATTTAGAAGAGGTGTCTGGATACTTCTGGACATACAATGTGGCTTGTTTTGCTTGGATTGTTTTGTTCTGTTGTTCTGTTGACACCTTAAAGTAGCTGAGGTATTAGGTTTTAATATAACAGCTCCATAAATATACACCTTTGAGTGGCGGACAAAATATTTCATTTATCTATCGCTGAGGCAGGTGGACAAATTAATTAATTTCAGAGCCTAATGACAGATTTTCAGCAATGAATGCTCATTCCTTTGGAGCCAGTTTTAAAGCAAATACCCATAAGCAGCCCTACTTTAGGAACAATGCTGCGTTGTATTCAAAGCATTTTTTGATGAAACTCACAAACACAAACAAACCTGAATGAGGCTTAAGACTCTGTCGTGTAGGATCATAGGAGGGTTGTTTTTGGGGAGAATGGTCCGCACCAGCACCCCCTCCACAAACTCTCTGTTGCAGACATGAACATGGAAACGATGGCCACAGTTCTTCACACATGTTTCCAGAACCTGGAAGTGAGAAGACAACATGAATAATAAAAAGAAAAACAGATTATCCTACACTATTGTGAAATAACATTGTCTGACAGATGTGTCACTTCAAAACATTCATAAATCTGTTAAGAACAGGGAGAAACAGAGGAAAACAAGAGAGAGAAATCCTGAAACCTGAATCTTACAGTCAGCGCCAGCATGACTTCTCTGAAGTTCTTATTTCCCACAATCTTCTTCTTTATGGCTCTTATTGCATCTTTGGGTCTGTAAACACAAGCGTCAGCATAAATCCCATCATAAATATACTATATTAAACCAAACGTCAAGCAGTAGCAAGAAAATAAGATTGTACAATCCAAACTAGGGATGTACCAATATGGAAGTCCTGCTGTGGCCAATACTGATAGCAATAAGCAATAATTTTACCAAAACAAATAAAATAGGTCATATAAAATGACTTATAAATTATAAAATTATAAAAATATAAATAAACCTGAGTTGTTTATGTAATAAACTTACCCCTCCTCTGTCTCGTTGATGATGTCACAGATTTCCATGTTGATGCCCCAGTCCTCTGCCTGTAGGGCGGCACTAGTGGCTCTCTCTGCACAAGACAATTAACCAACAAACTGACATTACACTTCTTTTAGCCTATTTAATCTGGCAATATTACAAGACTTTTATCATTTGTCTTTTTTATAGTTTATGACTGACATCTACTCAAAGCAAAGAAACTACAGCTCAAAGCTGCATATAAATCAGCAGCCCTAAAACTTTAAAAGTTTGGACAAAAGTATGTTCTCCACTCAAAATACTTCTTCAAAAACATAGTCCTTTTCTACAGCTACAAAGCATGAAGGCAATACAGTGCAGAATACTGCAGCTAATGCATGGACTTTTGAGTCTTAGTTACCTTTCTATTACTCAGGTATACATTTGTCCCCTTTTTGTCACATGGCAATTTCACATTTCTCATATAAGCTACACCAAAATAAGTACTTTGTTGATTAATATTATCACCCATCCAACCATCAAGGAATATATAAAAATAGGAAAATTTGTATTCATATTGTATTCATAGTTTTGGTAAGTTTTTCTAATGGAGCACTACTAGGGCTTTTTTGTAATGTAACAATGTAATGTCGCGATACTTATCATGTATCATAAAAATGCCTTCAGGTATCATAATGGCAAAATCCTACAATTATTTTGAAATAATAATAAATAATTATTTTGAAAAGCAGAAATGACATAAAACCCACATAAACAGCATGTGAAAACAAAGCCCTAAATCTTCAAGCACCACACTTTTACTGAGGAATTGTCTGTCATGTGGTGAGGGACCACACATTTGGTGGTGTGCATTAAAGCTATAGTTGGGACTGAGAACAAAGTAGTACTGGGTGTCTGACCCCCCCTAAAGGCTGGGGGCAGATTTACTCTGAATGAAAGAATCATTCAGTGACACAAAAACACATGATAAAAAGTCCATAGTGTGTTTATATTACTGTGCTACACTAACAGAATCAGTCGAGTGAATCATAAATATAAAGCATTTGTGAGTTCAGACCATGCCATGGTGGTAGTATGAGAGAAGACTGACTGAGTGAGGGGAAAACTCTGAGAACTTGGGCTGGAGTTCTGGGCAGCCTCTGCCTGAAGCTAGAAGGCCAGATCTACTTCTAACACAGGCAGCAATTTTCTGACCAAAATTTATATTATATGATTTGTTTATGGCTGGGTATCAAAATTCAAAATTTTTAATAGAGTAACAAAAAAATCCATGTCACCAAGCTACAAATTTTAATATGATGACATGCAATTACATGGGGATCATATCAGTACTGGCAGATAAGGTTGAAAAAAATTAACAGCACTGCACAGATATTTTGATTTGACTAATATCAATATGTCATATGTATACCTAAGCGCACACACAAATACACACACACATTCGTGTAAAGATATATATATATATATATATATATATATATATATATGTGTGTGTGTGTGTGTGTATACATATATACAGTCAAATGTAAAAGTTTAGACACTCTTGGTCAAATTGCATGTTTTGTTTTCTAAGTGAAAATAAGTCATTCTCATTTTTCTGCAAATTCTAATGTGCAATTTCTATTTATTTGATTTTAACATATTGGAAAAAAAAAAACATTAAATATAAAATTCATCATAACTTCTGCACAGGTCACATCTTCCATTTCTTTTTAATTTTCCAGTGAGTTAAATATAGTAAATAAAAAGTAATTGTGCATTAAAATGCGCAGAACTGTGTTGAAATATGCATTATCATCATGATATAATCATAATAACATAAGCAATGCTGATTCACTATGCCAGTAAAATTCAATTTCATGAAGAAACTGAGTTTAAAGTGGAATTCCACCAAATTTTCAAAACTGCTGCATATGTCTTCTTTACAGTGATGGTGATTGGAACCGGGGATTACAATGTTGACAATACACATGCAGCCATTTTAGTTACTATCCAAAAACCCCAGTGAACCTACACAAGTTTTTACATGTAAAGTTAATGATGGTAAAACAGTGGTAAATCTGGGAAAAAAAATATTTTTTCCAACTCCTTGCTGTGAATGTAATTAAAAAAAGCTTATCTCAAAACAAAGCCTCAGCCACTACATATAATAGCTTTCTGTGATGTAGCCTTTAGAAGCGTTACACACTGTGGATGTTTGGTTCCTATCACCATCACTGTGTCTGACTTGGTATGTTTCTCTAGAACGGAACACGTTGGAAAATTGGCGGCATTCCCCTTCAATCGAGGAACTGTGACAGCACTGAAAACATCTAGTGGTTGTTTTTTATTGTTTTGCATATTGCAGCTTTCTGCAATGTCCATATTGCAAAGGTCAGTGTTGTGATAAGGATTTATAAATAATATTGTGTGGCCTCTGCTTATTTGTGTTTCTGCGCACAGGTGGAGAACATGGACTTTTAACTTCCTGTTTAGCAAACTTATGGTAGCTGGATTACAGTTAATAGCCCTCAGAGCATTAAATTATCTTTACAATGAGAGAATTTGACATAGTATTGTTTGTTATTTGTTAATATTGTCAATATTTATCACTTTGAACCCCCCCATAATTCTCTCATTCATCCTAACTTTCACATTAATATCATAAATGCCTGGAGTTTCTCAGGGAGAGTGTGTGCAGAGGCAGCTGACTGTCACATGAAGGAGGGAGAGAGTGGGAGAGAGGGAGAGAGAGAGAGAGAGAGAGAGAGAGAGAGAGAGAGAGAGAGAGCACACGAACGAGGGAATTAGGGAATTAAAAGGCCCTACAGAAATGAGGTCTCAGCAGGGTGAAACTCATGTGAGCTCTGCTTGGTTTGGATCACATGGGACAGTGGCAATTTCTTTTGTATGTTATTTTCTTTCTATCTTATAACATCCTTATGACTACTTTGTAAAGCTGCCATGAATCTATAAATAACACTATATACAGTACTATGAAAAAGCATTTGACTTTCAGTCAAGAACAAGATATTAATTTTTCATGAGACATTTCAGAGTAGATTAGATATACGATAATCCACTTGAAAAGGAAAGTGAAATTCAAAGTCAAATAAACAGGAGTTCCCAAAACTGGAGTTCAAAAAATGATTAAAAGATACAGCGAAAACAAGACCCCTAACAATCGTACAAGACCTGGTAGACGCCCAAAACTGTCACCTTCAGATAAACAGCACTTAAAGCTCTCATCTTTGAGAGAGAGGAGAAAATCAATCTGCTTCAGATCTGAAAACATCCACAAGTGTTTCTGTCCATCCTTCCACTGTAAGAGGACAACTCAGTGCTATGGGTCTGAAAGGATGTGTAGCCCCCTCACAGAATCAGGTCCTGTGTTTGGGGTTACTTGTATCGCGAAAAAGTGGAAAATGCAACTTCTACAAATCCAATTTCAAAAAAGATGGTACAGCAGGGAAAATGCAAATAAAAACAGAAAGCGGTAATTTATAAATCTTTGACCTGTATTCGAACAAAAACTGTACAAAGGCAATATAAGTAATGTTTTACCTTTTCAACTTCATTGTTTTCTATATAGGCTCATTCTGAAACTAACGTGTAAAAAAACGTTCAAAAAAGTTGGGTCAGGGGCAACTTAAGACTAGGAACATGGTGAAATTTTCAAAAAACATCTTAAACAGTGATGCAATTATACTTGGACATAAAAGAAGCAACCAGGAAAAGCAGAGCTCTTAATGAGCGAGAATGGGTGACCTTCGACCAAGACAACAATGCTAAAAACTGACATGCTTCACTGAAGCATATCACCGCATGGGCTCTGGAATACTTTGAAAAACCCTCTGTTTGTTGTCCACAAATGCAAGCTAAGACTGTACTACACACAGTGGAAGTCATATGTCAGACATGCTGTCCACTTCTCTGGACTTGCGGTCATCTGAAGTGGACTGATGGACAGTGGAAACGTACTGTGGTCTGTTCAGATAGTGTTTGGAAAAAGGGCCATCCTGATTGTTACCAGTTTAAAACTCAAAATCCTGCGTCTGGCCATCTATACTTGGGCATCTGTAAAAGATTCTGTAAAACAAATTTTGGAGCAACAAATGCTGTCTTTTACACTCATGGCTGTGTAATTAAAGTGTGTGGGTGCTAGACTGACCAGTCTGCAGTCCAGAACTGTTTACCATTGAAAATGTGTGTCTTGAAAAGCTTAAAATACGACATATATAACAGAAGAATGGCAAAAACAATATAATTTCAAAACCGGATCGATTTTTGTCTTTACTCCCTAAATGATTATTAAGTGCTGTTAAAAGGAAAGGTGATGTAATGCAGTGGTAAACATGCTCCTGTCACAACTTTTTTGGAATTTTTCTAATAACTGCTTTCTGTTTTATCTGCGTTTCAGACTGTCCCAACTTTTTTGGAATTAGGATTGTAAGACTAAACTTTGGAGGTTTGGAAAAATGCAGTTTTTTTTTATAAAACTGAAAGCAAGGCTCGCAAAAAGATTCAGAGCTGTAGTAAAGGCCGAGAATGGACACACTAAATATAAAAAAATGATATTTAGTTGTTGAGGCTTTCTATTAAAAACACACTTTCTGCTTGTTTCCTGATGCTGATAAAAAATGAATAACTTGTACTTAATGACTGTTTTGGCTGGAAATCTGGTCTCTGATTTTGTACAGTGCTGTAAATAAATAAATAAATAAATACACAAATGTTTTTTTATCGTTATTACAGGCTCATGATTTGCAAACTATCACAAAAAACTGTGAACTATGCAAAGTGTCAGTGTCAGTGTAGAACTTTTTTGGTAACATAGCAAACACTATGCAGTGAACTGGTGAACCAGCGATAGTGTGCAGTCAAACAACACTAGGAATGGTTTAGATTAGGGTTCCTCAACCACTGGGCACCCTTTGGTGGTCTTCGGGCCAATACTGAAGAGGACCAGTGGTCTACAGTGAGCCAGTGATGGCACTTTGTCATAAAAATCAGTGAAAAAATAACTGATTCACTAACAATGACAATATTAATACAAGCCATGCAACAACAGCGCACATAAACATCTTTGTCATTTTTTTGCCCATTGCCTCACAAATACGAAGTTCACCCCCCACCCCTTCCCCGCCCGACATCTCAGCTGTTCACTTGCCGCCATCCTGTTGATATTTTACGTTCACTGATACATCTCGGACATTCAAATATTTGTTGCAAATTTCCTAAAAATTACATTTTAAAACTTGAGTTTTGCTTTCATGTATTCATGCTTTGTAGTGATGAACAGGTGGATCTTGAGGTGGAAAAGATGGAGAACCCCTGGTTTAGACAGCTTTTATGACTCCTTCCCTTAATCCACTTTTACTTCTGCATTTATGTTTTTCCCTTTTTAAACCCACTATAATCATCTCAGACCTTGATCTGGACCTGCCAGTCTACCAGCTCTTCTGGACACTGTTATGTTTATGGGGAAAGATAAAGTCCTCGCCTGGGAGAAGTGTTTATGCAAGAGCAGCCTTTAGAACCAGGGTTATATGGAAAAATCCCGGGTCAGAGTGTGTGGTGTAATCTGAAATACATCACTATAAAGATTAGGGCTTTGACAGCCTGGCTTTGAACTTAACAGGGTCATCAGGCTGTAGGTGCAAAGAGTTTAATGTACAGATGGCAGGAGTTGTTCAGTTCCTTAAATACACAAGCTGATGGACCCGCCCATCGCCTGAACACACCGAAGGCAAAAAAAAAAACAGTACAAAAACAGACAAAAAACAGTAATAAAAAGCCATAATTGTACAGTAGTATTTAACCTGTGGTCAGAAACATTGTTAGACCACCCTGAATGAATGAGTTAAGGTATTAGTTTCGAATAAAATATAAAATTAAAAATCAAAATAAACCAAACTGGAAGGTTTGAGCTGTAACGTTCTTCTGGCTGCTAACCGTCTCAAGTTTTTAACAGAGGAAGCTGGTTTCCTTCAGTTTTCAGCCAAATACTTCCTACTGAGGTCGTATTTGTGTCCTTACGGAGAAGTGTTAGATTCAGACACTCACGGATACGCTGTCCGACGGGAGAGGAGAAAGGGCTCCCGATGAGGAAATCCATTTTGCTTCAAAAAGTCCAGTAATGCTGTTTATTCATGTGTCTCTGAAACTCGGACTCGGTCCGCCGGTGGAAACGCGCGTTCACGCGAACTGAACTCTGAACGCGCGGTCACGTGAAAGGGCAAGTTTAGGAAGTAGGGCGGTTTGAGCCAACAGGGCAGAGAGGGATCTACGTTCATTCAGTTAGATGTGAAATAAAGATGGATTACTTTTATTCTCCTTTTAAAATCCTAATTACACTAATATAATATAATAACTACTAACATGAGAAATCACTCCACGTTTGATTCAGCACTGCAGCACTACAGTGCTAATCCAGATGGTATTTTCAAATAGCAATACTTTTACATTTTGGAAGAACCTAGCAAACAGAAAACGTTCCCCTATGACTATTTTTGGACGAACCTCGCTATAACGCTCTGGGAATGTTCTAGTTAAATTAACTTAATCTAAGTTCAAGGGTTCTTTGGCAAAGAAAATGGTTCTATATAGAACCATGAACGCTCAAAGAAGTCTTTGTATGGGTAAAACGTTCTTTGCATCATAAAATGGTTCTCCAGAGAATGGGCTGTAGATTGTTCTGAAAATTGTTCTATATAGCACCCTAAAGGGTTCTTCTATTGTTACAAGCTTGACATCATAACAATAGAAGAACCCTTTTTGGTGCTATATAGGACCCTTTTCAAAAAGGTTCTATATAGAACCATCTACAGCATATTCTTAACAACCCTTTCATGATGCAAGGAACACTGGGGTGCATTGGCCCCAGAATGACCACATAGGTGCATCCGTACTTATTTTTTTCCATTGTGTGGGTTCAGCTTCTGTTCTGCTCTGCTGTTCCTCTCAGTTTGGACCTTTAGCATTTGGTTTGAGACTGAAAGAATCTCAGAAAGAGATATGTCTAACAAACCTCAGTTCCCCTGCTGATAGATGCTGGATGTACTAAGAGGTTCCATATCCATAATATAATAATTATAAAAAGCAGTATTGATTTCGTTTTTTTTTTGTTTTTATGTTTAAATTCTGTTTTGTGTGCTTTACAGCTGTGCTACAGTATCCAGGCCTGCAGTAAACCACAGTGCTTTAGAATGTTTTTTTTGAAAGAATATGGTTTCTGTTTGGTTAACATTTACAATAACAATGTCAGGTTTGTATGATGTTCTTTTCACATTCAGTAGCATCACTCAGGAGGAATGGGCACATTAACATTGTTAATGCTGAGTTAAAGCTACACTGTGTAAGATTTGGGGATTTGGAGACCTCTGTGGTGGAAATGTGTAATTGCCTCCTTTGTATTTTGTGAGTTTGTGAGTTTGATGTTTTCGAGCACATTGAAAGACAATTCAAAGAGAACTCAGTCAAAACTTGGTGAAGGATGTGTCTTCCGAGGATGTGAGTAAATTATCCACCATTATCATAGTATCTTTGTCAGTACAATGTTAGTTTTGCATTTGAGACCTAAACATTAAGCCGGACCTTCTTTCTGAGCCTGCGTGTGTGACATTAATACGTAAAGACGTATGACATGGTCTTTAAGATATTGTGATATTTATTTTTAGCAATATTGCCCAGCACTAGGATCATGTATTGTTTTTTTTTGGTTCTTCTGATATAATCCATTAACACTGGACATCACAATAATTTTAAAACATTTATTAAAACACAAACAATGAACAGGCATTTTCCATATCATTGTATAACTGTACAAGTACTATGTGCACATGAAAAATGTGCTATTGACAAAGAGACAATGGCACAGTTCTAGGCTACTCGCCATCTAGCACATTTAAGGCAGTCTACCTGCAATAAAATACAGTTAATGATAATAACTCCCCAACTTTAGAGTGGTAAACAGGGGGGTGTAGCACCTTTGTGATGAAAGATAACATTCTTCTTTCATAAAAACATGAACACTACAAAAAAATAATAACTTAATACTAAGTAAAAAAGCACTGTATATGTATGGTTTGCCTACTAATGCACTGTTAAACCACAGTACCCCTAAGATTACGTTACATTAGTGGAAAAGGTGTCTTACAGTTCTTATGACGTACTACAGTTGTCAGTTAGCTTGATCAAACCACAGATTATGAACATAGCGAGAGACTTGTGCTATTCTTAGACTACTACACAAATGACTTGTCGTTGTGGTTGCGGCCGCCACTGACGCAAAACAAGAAAGCAGCGCTCAGTAGTGGTTTCAATGAAAGCACACGACTGTAGCAAAACCTGGCATTATTGAGGGTAAAACCCACAACAGCTTTCTCGTTCCCTCGTTTGTCCTCTATGCAAAGCAGGGAGGTAGTGGAACCCGCTCATATCTTACAAAGCTCATTTGTTGCGTGTACATGGGGATTACGTTTGAGTCCATGTGGAATCAGCTTCCTTCTGAGGTTTAGAATGGAATGGGGCCGTAGTATGCGGTGTAAGCCGCCACGATGCCGTTTGTGTCGGCCATTTCATCACAGGCCACATTCACCTCGCACACCTCTCTCAGGCTGAAAGAGGGAGAAAAACAAATATTACTTCAATTGCAAATGAAATAAAATCTGGTCTGTTTTATACACTGTAATCAATCCTTGTAAATGCATATCAATATATCTAGTACTGGATAAGAATATGCATGACTTTTTCAAGCTTGTTGTCAGAGATCTTAAGAATTCCACAGTCACAACGCAGTGACATATTGCGTAACGTTATGATATGAATCAGTGGCCACTAAGCCATAAACAACAGCAAATCACATGTCATAGCTGAATGCCAGGTCTGGTGAGTTCCCTAGAGAAATTTAACACCTTCAATGGTCAGGTCCCACATGCAGGTCCTAAGCTTTATTATACACTTCTATAACCTAAGAATAGCTCAGACAGTTTGCCTTGAAATTGCTGTAGTTATGCTGTAGTAATAAACCTTAGTATGTAATAAGCCTGGCATTTTAAGGTGTTAGTGAGAGTGGAATTTCTTTCAATAGAATATATTGTTTAAACTAATTGTAGACTAATTGTCGCATTGCATTTATACCTGTACTGGGGCTTGTTAAATTCTGAAATATAGAATAGAATAGAATAGAATAGAATGGAATAGAAAGTCAGGGCAGAATCTATACACAGAATAGAACAGAGAGTCAAATACAGTCTGAAACTAGAATAGAATAGAATAGAATAGAATAGAATAGATGGTCAGATGCAGATCCATTAAAAAGAGAAGAACAGTCAGGTGTCTGAAATAAGAATAGAATAGAGAGTCAGGCTCAGAGTCATAAAATAAAATAGAACAGTTGTACCTCTCCAGCTGGAGGGGAGTGAGGTCAGCAGCAGGTGCGGCTCCTGCTCTCCTGTGTCTCCTCAGCATGGATGCAGCTACAGATCTCTTCACCACCACATGCTCTGGTCCAGGTGTGGCTGCAATTCAGCACAAACCAGAGTCACATACTGTCCACACTCCAAAACCTAAAGCAGTAACACACATCCTTTATCTACATCAGTGTTCCTCACAGCCTGATCCACCTCCACCCTGTATTCAACTCCTGATGGCCTTGATAAAGAACTGCGAGTTAAACCTGACCTGTCAGAGCAGGGAATCTAACACTGTACTGTGCATTGCTTGGGCTTTCTAGGAATTCTGGATCATACTGAAAGAAATTGAAGGATGAGGTCACAGTGAGATGAGTGCAGGCGTCTCACCTTCGGCACTGACGGAGTTGGACTCGGATGAGGAGGAATCAGAAGCGGAATCGGATGCAGAATCGGATGCGGAATCGGAATCTGAAGCAGAGTCGGATGCTGAGTCTGAGGCAGAGGAGGAGTCAGAGGCAGAGGAGGAGTCAGAAGCTGAGGAGTCGACATCAGGATCAGCAGGAGCATCAGTAGGAGCAGCATCATCAATGTCTGCAGGAGCCTCTACATCAACCTCAACGGAGACATCTACGTCTGGGTAGATTAACACAAAGAACATTTCAAAACACATTCTTAGGGTTCAGCATTCAACTTTTCACCATGGTTGTTCAATCAGTATAACTTTAAGCTTATAGAATGTAAAGACATACACAATCTTTTGGGTTATTTTGGCTCCTTTGATCAGTTATAGGGTTCTTTTAAAGGACTCCTCCAGCATTGTTCAGTCTTTTTGGCATATCTGTAGCGTATGATTGATTAACACACACACGCATCTCCTAAGTCGCTTATCCTCCTGGGTTGCTGGAGCTAATTCCAGCGCTTATTGGGCGGAAAGACAGCAAACACCCTGGACAGACACACAGACATACACATTCACACCCAGGGGCAATTTAGCATCTCCAATTCGCTGGACTGCATGTCTTTGGACAGTGGGAGGAAACCAGAGCACATGGATAGAACCACACAGACACAGGGAAAACATACAAACTTCACACAGAAAGGACACTGGTTGCCTGGCCCAGGAATCAAACCCAGTTGTGAGGCGACAGTGCTAGCCACAGCGCCACTGTGCCATCCTGAATGATTACCATAAAGAGTAATTTCTCTGTATTGAAAAGAGAACAGAAAACCTGATGTCTCAAATCACATTTATAATGGAAGCCAATGAGAAGGAGGTTCAGTATGTGCCCATTGGTTTCTATTATAAGTGAATTTCGAATCACTGGGTTTTCCATTTTTTTTGCAGGAAATGTGTCAAATTTTTTGTCTGTTTTTATCAATCCTAAGATACAAATGCAGCAGATAGAGATTTGGTTGAAAAGTGCTGGAGTACTCCATTTGTGCTATTTCAGTTCTTTTAATCATATATTTATATATTTATACTCAGGCAGTTTTCAATCTAATCTCTATCTCCTGCATCTGTGGCATGTGATCGATTACTAAGGACAATAATTTCTCTCTATTGAAAAAAAGAACAAGACCTCTTGACTCAAAAATGCACTTATTATAGAAGATAATGGGAAGGTGATTCACCATCTGCCCATTGATTTCTAATACAAATGAGTTTCGAGTCACTGGGTTTTCTGTTTTTTTACAAAGTCCTGAAAATAAGATTATTGTGCGTGGTTATCAACCCTACGACACAGATGCAGCAGATAGAGATTAGGTTGAAAAGTGCTAAACTATAATCTACAGTCCTTTGGCTATAAAGAAAC